TGGCGAAACACGTCCAAAACCTCCAGGGTGGCGAAGGCTTTCCGGGTGCCGTTATCGGTTTCGCCTGGGTCGCTTATCCATCGGCTTCGGCTTTTGAACACTTAGGGAGCAAACCCGCCAAAAAGCGAGACACAGGGCGAGGCCTCACAGATGGGGAGTGGCCACAACACAAAACACAAACGTGGGAAGAAGGCCAAAAAGGCGAAGACAAAACGCAAAAAGCTGCCGGCCGTTTTGCAAGTCCCTGAGCGGTTTCGGCTTGCCTAAGTTCTGTCCCTTAACAGTTTCGAACTTCATGCGGGTATCGGTTTCGAGTGGATCCCCGCGAAACTCTTAGGCGAAACCGTTAAGGGACAGCGTTGCTTCGGTTCCCTTGTCGATTTCTCTGCCCCCTTTTTCCCCCGTTTGCCTCCCCCGGTCTTGCTCAAGGCGTGGCCACGTTTTGCTCTTGGGCCGTCCGCTTTCTTATCGGTTTCGCGTGCTGCCTTCTCTTCTTTTCTGTGCTTTTCTGGCGTCTGCTTATCGGTTTCGCTACGGCTGGGCAGCGATCCCGGGACACAGAGCGGGCAGCCCTTGCCGCCTCAGTCCTGCGCGTGGCTCACTGCATCGCGAAGGCCTTGGGCAGGGGTGGCTCGGGTGGTGGATGCTTTGGCAGCCTCGCACTGGCAAGGTTTTCGACAAGTTCTTAATCGGCGGCCAATGGTGCATCAGCATGCCTGGAGCCTTTTGCGCAGTTCGACTCCCGCACGAGATGAACTGCGCGCGCAGTCTTTTGCCTTATTTCAAAAGATTCACCCGGAAACTATTCCCGCACTCAAAAAATGTTCGCAAATATTTAGCGAATATTCCCAAATATTCGCAAGCATTCGCAAAGAATTCGGATGCTCTTAAATATTCACAAAGAGAAGGCGAAAAAGAAAAAGGCGGGCGCAGCGTCTGCGACAAAAATCCTCGCAATGGTTTCCCGGATCTCCTTACTGGTTTCGCTTCGCCATATTCTTCCAAAAGATTGGCCACAGGCGGGAGGTCTCGCCGGTCTCAGCGTGGCGGCTTTTCGATAAAACCGCGCGCGCGTCCATCATCCACCTGCTTCCACTTCTTTCATTTCGCGAGATACGCGGGCGAGATCGTCGCCCTCTTGTGTTCCCCTGGCTTGGCTCGTCTTTGTTCCAGTTTGGTCGGTCTGTGTTCTTCTGGCTTGGCTGCTCTTGTGTTCTGCGTCTTCCCATGTGCTCCCCTCGTGTGCTCTTGCCGTGTGTCTGATCTCTGTGCCGTGGCGCGTCGTCTCTCTCGCGGCCATAGGCCGCCAGGGACGAGGGGGCAGGGGGCAGCCTTGCTGGGCTGTTCGCGCTGGATTGTGCGGCGCAGACCACGCGCCCACCAGCGCCCACCAGCGCAGCGGGGCGCGTCGTCCCCCTGGCGGCCGTAGGCCGCCAGGGACGAGGGGGCAGAGGGCTGCCTTGCTGGGCTGTTCACGCTGGATTATGCGGCGCACACCCCGCGCCCATCAGCGCCCACCAGCGCAGCGTGGCGCGTCGTCTCTCTGGCGGCCGTAGGCCGCCAGGGACGAGGGGGCAGACTGTTGCCTTGCTGGGCTGTTCGCGCTGGATTATGCGGCGCAGACCACGCGCCCACCAGCGCCCACCAGCGCAGCGTGGCGCGTCGTCCCTCTGGCGGCCGTAGGCCGCCAGGGACGAGGGGGCAGACTGTTGCCTTGCTGGGCTGTTCGCGCTGGATTATGCGGCGCAGACCACGCGCCCACCAGCGCCCACCAGCGCAGCGTGGCGCGTCGTCCCTCTACGGCCGCCAGGGACGAGGGGGCAACGCGTGACCATCTCGCCCCCCGCCCCCCTTGTACAAGGTTAAATGTTTGCGCGACTGTGAACCCACATAACGAGCCTGCGCCGAAGAGTGCGCCCCCGGACTGGGCCCAACCATGTAACCCTGTACAGGGGGGCGGGGGGCGCGGGGTACAACGGGAGGCGGGGGGATGCGTCAGACAAACTGTCGCCCGTGTCACTGAAGAAATAAGGCATGCCCCATCGTCGGCCGCCTGCGGGACGGTGCGCCAGACGGGGCGTCTTGCCGGGCTTCTGCGATCTCACCGAAAGGCGTTCGCGATTGAAGTTATCCCCTTGGCTCTCTTCGTGTGCGTGTGCTACCTATACCGGGCGCACTTCTGAGAGCTACAGGCGCACAGGGCTAGCCTTTGCCTGTAAGGATGTGCCAGACTCTTAAAAAGGAGGGCGAGCCCGTGCCCCATGGTGTCGCCTGTCGTCTCGTTCGGCTTGTATCGGTAGCCGGAGGGATTGCAGGGGAGACGGGTGCGCCGAGCGAGCGGCGAAACCGATAAGAGAATGGCGGAAGCATCTGAACAGAGCCCGGAAAGACAGAGGCGAAACCGATAAGGGAATGGGAAAAGGAGAGAGACGAACTGGCCTCGCGGTCTAGGGACTGGCGTGCCAAACTGTGAAGAAAAGTGGCAAAATATCGAAAACGGCCCAGGAGTGCCACTGTCCCTCAACGGTTTCGCTTAAGAGTTTCGCGCGGGTTAGTTTCTCGCTACTTAAGTTTTATTGCCTTACGCCGGTCTTTCCAACCTTGACCTAGAAGTCTACCCGTTTTGCCTGTTTCAGTACTAGATAGAGGATATTTATCTTGTGGCCCCTTAACCATTCCCGGCAAAACCCACCACAAAAATTCTCTTTGTGGGGGTTTGGTTTTCGAAGATATGACTTTGGGAGTCTTCCTAGCGCTCCCCGCCTGGCAGCCGGTCCGCGCCAGGTCGATAACCTGCGGGCCGCCTTTGCCTGGCCTCAGCCCAAAAAAGTGCGGCTGCTGGTAAGTTTGGGAGTCTTAGAGGAAACCAGGGAGGGCCGGATTAGGTGCAGAGGACCTCGGCCCGCACTGGAGGGCGCCGCTTCAGGCCTTGCTGCCGCAGGCTTGGCAGCCTGTCTGGAATAGGTCGACAACGTAGGCGCCGCCTCCCCGGGCTTTCGCTTAAAACAGGTCGACTTATGGCAAGTTTTGAGACATCTGTCAAACCAACACAGGAAAAGAGCCGGACTTGGAACAAAGGCCGCCGGCCCCATTTGCGCCGGTCGGTGCAGCGCTGCACAACAGCCAAAAGAATCGGCTTTCTCGGAGTTCTCCTGCCCCCATTTTAAGACCCGAAGTGTTGCGGCATGCAGGCGGGCGAAACGCCAACTCCGGGCGCAAACAGCGGATTGATATCCCCGTCGGCCGCCATAGCGGGCGACGTCGCGCCTACGGGGCCCCGGCTCGCCATCCGTGTGCCCGCCCGCCTTCGACGCGGAAGTCGCCTTGGCCGCGGACCCCGCGAAGCCGGCGGCGCTTGCGCTGGGTAAAAAGGGCGAGCGTTTCGGAGACCGGGAAAAGTCCACACGCAAAACAGCCGGGCCCACGGCGGGCCCAGTTGGCCGGAAGATTTGCTTTCCAGAGCCGCCGGTCAGGAGCGTCATGCTACTCTTGCAGCGCTGCGCGGCGATGGCGTTTTCATCCAGGACGAGGACGCAGTGTGGAGTGGTGTGCAATTTGCTAGCGCATCCATAGGTCCCGGCGCATGCCCTTGCGGGATCGGACACAAAGAGAGTGGAGGCCGTTGGAGGTCCTGCGCAGAACGCAGAGGGGCTGACTACAATGGCGGCGCTTGTGTGTATGAAGATCGACCCGGAGAACAGGCAACAGCCCGCGGGGCTACTGCTTAGCCGAAAGCGTCTTTCTTTTGGTGAAAAGGACGAGCGAGAATGGTAGCCCTACGAACGATGGCAGCAACCTTCACTCCCCAAACGACTGAGCCCTCCTTCTTTGTCAAAGTACGCGTTATTTTTTCGGAAATGAGATATAGTTAGGAAGAAGCAAAAAATACTGGGCGAAGCGAAAGGCTTATGAATGGCAATTCGTCACTCTTAATATCTTCAGGTGCCGCACTGATGAGGCCGCTGGACCATTCGCCGCAGCCCATTCCAGTTCGAGAGCATTCTATAAGGCCAACGAATCTTCGAATGCGGAACGGTGTCGCAGTGTGCAAACACAAAGGGGACCGTTTATTCAAAGTACTCCCATGTCGTAGGCGTAGCGTTGCGCAGCAGCAAAAGTGCCCCCCTTTCCATATAAGTAAGGGACATGAACACCGCGGCATGATTATTGCGGAGGAAGAGCACAGTTTGAAAATCAATGTAAACGACGAAGGAGAAGCACGAGCTTCGAAAGCGCATACCCATCGGCGGAGAAAGTGGCTCGAACATGGTTGCTCGCAAACTACCCACAGTCAGGTATCGTAAAAAACGTACTAAGCGGCCGGGTTGAGATTTTTGTTGATAGATAAGTCTGACGTAGTGGCGGGCCCACGAAGTCTTTCTGCTGCAGCTGGCATAATAAGTCTGAAGGCAGGCTCTTGCAACAATCTTAACGAAGAGGGGTATCGCGCCCTCGACGGGATGCTTGGTGGTAAAGCTGGCATTCAGGAGGACAGGATGGGATGAGCGCGTACTCACGCTATGCAACCAGATATTTTCTGCGCAGGAGATCAAGACTCTGACGTCAACTCCACGCTTTTGATTTTCTTGCTGCCGATCTTGTCTACAAATCGCAATGCAGACATTTTTTGACTTACTTAAAACTTGTAAAGGTTTTGCAGGCGTGTCGCGTGCAGATGGTGTCATTTGTCTACTGAGCAGCCACAAGACTCAAAGAAGGAATCTCAATCTAAGAAGAAGAAGAAGAAGACTGCTCGAGTAGGATACGAAGAAGGGGCTTCAAATTGCATGATAAAGTAGAAAGGACCACTTGAGACTTGATGGCGATGTTGGAAGGAGGAATCGACGAAAAAGCTTCATCGGTATTATTGCGTCATAGAAGTGCTACATGAATACTTTTTTTACACTGAGTGCACCTGTCTTCTACATCAAGTGCAACAGGGAGAAAATGTTGCAATAGAGAGAGCCAGGATCTATGAGGGAACACATTGGCCCCGTGCGGTCTGTCTTGGGGCGATTGCAGTGCTTTGCGTAGCAGGTTGGCGTTTTTCTGTAATCGCCAACCTCGCCAACGGTAATGCCATTCCTATTTGGCTCTTGGAGATAATTCTTGAGTCGCAAGAAGATGGCGCGCATATTGAGCGGGGTGAGCAGCAGCAGTAACCCCATACGACCAACAAAAGCAGACGCCGGACCACCCTTATTTTCGGCTGTGTTGCCAAGCGAGACGAGCGCCCGACGAGGTTCAGCGCCGAGCATTCGACAGCGCGCATCTCGGTTACTATGCAGCCGCCGGGAGGATGGCTCGAAAGGCGCCTCTGACGATGGCGGCGGCGCCATGAAGGACGAGGATTTTGGTGGAGGGGTCCTTGGTGGCGAGAAGGCAGACGATGGAAGTTCGTCATACCGTATTAAGCTAACAAGTCCGGGCTTTTCCTCCTATCGTGCGTTCGAGGCACTCATGCGCTCTGACCTGGTTCGCATTGCCGCTCTTGACGAGTTCAGCAGTACTGAAAATAGCGGTCAACTGAAGACAGACGATGCTCAACTGCAGAAGGGGTTGCAACGATGCGCGGAACAGCTGCGAGAGCACGCGACCGCGACCGAGCTCGCGTCAAGGGTGGCGTTTCTAGAACTTCTAGTTGTGCGATTGGGCCTTCTCTTCGGCTCTGCCCTCCGTCATTACACAACTACTGGCACTTGTTCTGCGCCGGATTTGCTAGAAGACGACGACACCTGGACCTCAGCTACACTCTCTAGTACATTGTCGTCGAATAGGAATGCTGCCTACGCGGACACGCGCATTGGATGGGTCCCAGGTGTCTACACGAGTTTCGTTGCGGCACTTCGCTCTTCTCACGAAACAAAAGCTAAAGTTCTCAAGACACGCGTCGCCGAACTACCTGAGCCAGTAGCACAAAAGCCAAAACTTACGGTGGAACACTTAGGAGTTGCAGGACTAAAAAATGGAAGCATCAACATTCCGCCAACAAAAGCTGACCACGTCGTGCAAGACCAAGAGAGCCGTGCGAGCCGAAGTATTGAGCAGACAATTGTTCGAGTTGAGCAAGGAACGCAAAGCGAAAGTCGAGAAAAGAAAGACGCGTCACAGCAGACGCAGGGTGTCGAAATGCGCGATGCAAGCACCGAGGCAAGCATCGAAGAAGACACCCAGACTTTGCCTGCTGTTGAACATAAGGCTTTCCCATCAGTAGTTGTTGAAACGCAGCACCGGGATGTGCAAACCTCGATTTCCTTGACAGCCGTAGAGGATATGTCGGCAGCACTGCTGGCAGAAACAGAGGGAGGGGGGAGGGGGAGCAGTATTCCTTTCACTGTAGTAAATGATGAAGACGTATTTTTGCCGTCGTCTTCCAGCGCCACTTTGGATGTTGAAGGCGCGGGTGTGAAGAAGCCAGCTACGAGGCGTCCCGAAAAGAGCGCAACGTCACCGGCGAGTACTTGCAGTGTCCAGAGCGGTGACATAAGATTGTCCGAGAAAGACGAGGACGCCAGTCGAACTGATATTGTGGCTCGAAGTACTCCAGCCAAAGAGACTGAAGAGAAAAGCAGCGAAACGGGTGAGACACGTGGACAATCCCCGAAACTAGAGCAGCCTCTTTTTCGAAGGACCATAGGCGTAGGCACTTGTCCAGTGGAGACAAAAGAAGATGACCGTCCGTTTGCTTGGATCGACCGATTACGAAAGACCAGGCACAGTTCGCTCTTACCGTCGAAAAAGTTGGGTCCGCTGACTAAGCGCCGCTCGCCCCTGGACGAAACAGATGCTTCGCGAAAAACAGGCAGTGGTGATGCTCCCGACGCGGCACCAGAAACCTCGGCAAGCAGTCTAGCACTCCGAAACGAGGCACAAGTACCCGCAGCTCGAAAGCCTTTTACAACCTCATCCACCATAGACCGTCCGCTGCAAGAGCAAGTGGCGCAGTTGAAGAAGACGCTGGCGCTGGAGAAAGACTTTGCGCAGGGTGTCTGCGCTGAGAATACGGCGCTCAGTGACCAAATAGCGAAGCTGGGCTCCGAAATATCGGCCCTGCGGTCGAGTGTAGAATTGGGAGAGCGTGAAAGAGACGACATACTTGCGAAAGCGAAAAGAGTCACGGACCGCCCTTTCGTTCACCATAGCTGGTTGCACGAGAAGCTGCGATCACTCGGTAACCCTGCGTTGTTAGCTTTTACTGTGAAAGTTTTTCATTTATTTGAAGTTCTCTACTTGTTTTTTCGGATCAGTCATTTAGAGGAACAGTTCCGTCATGCAGTCGTCTCTTCCATCCATCATCCTGTTTAGGCAGTCCGTAAATCAAAAAATTCGTCGTCTTTACAAAGACGCACTACTCGCAATATGAAAAATTGAGCTAATTTATTCCAATTCCAATATTACCTTCTTACTTGTTATTTTCTGTGGCGTCTATTCAGAATCCCGAGAAGTGGGGGTGCAAGCTCCAGATAGCACTATGCAGTTTCTGCCGGTGCATGTTGCGGTGCAGACAAGCTTCAGTCCTAAGGTGTTGCCATCGCGGACGAAGATCGGGACACTTCCTCCGAATGCGGCCGCGAAGGACCGTACTAGTCAAGCTGAAAAGGATCTAGAGTACGACAGGACACCGGACGATGAAGCAGTAGAGGGAACATCGCGGACGCTGGGGAATAGAGGTGAAGAAGGCGGCGCCAGAGGTGGCACGTCGACAGGTGAACCGACATGGACGACGACCGCAGGAAGCTTGTCAGCAAGGCTTAGCGATAATGCAACTCTCTCCATCAAAGCAGGGAGTAGTAGCACTACGCGGCGATCGGTTCGTGCTTCTCCTTTTTCATCTCCGTCCATGGCGGCGCGATCAGGCATATCAACGGCAATGCTTGGCTTTGCTAACCGCGCAGCGCAGTGAGTGGATGAGGCGACGAATCTTGCGCTGATCGAGGCATATATTTCATGAAATGTTTCGTATACAAATAACTATATCACGGCAAATAAGCCCTCTATATTCATAGCATCATTGAGAATCACGAGTATTACACGTAATAACCAATGTTCAACACTCTCCCTTTGTGCACAGAAGACAGTGCTGTCAGCATGATAGCAAGTTGCAAAGATAGTATCACTCAGCTTTTATGATTTTCACCGTTTCGCAATAGTGTTTCGATAGCTTTGATGTTAATGTTTCGTTTCTCAGTGAGACTCGCACTAGTAGTGCAGAGGGACTAGTGAAAGCCAGCGCCGATGAACTGGTGATTAGTTTAGAGTGTGTGTCGTGATGCGCAGGTACTCGGTACACTTGTATGGCGTGACTCAGAGAGGTTGATGTTCATGCGATTGGCATATGTCATGCGCAGAAGGATAATCGAGTCCTCGCGTCATGTTGATGTTGTACAGCAGATGATGTAGTCGTCGTGTGTTGTGTCATTACGCACACAGAGCGACTGGCCGGCGCTTGTGAAGGAGATGGTGTTCTGATGAATAGTGTGTGCTCAACGTAGAGGGTCTACCTTAGTAAGCATAGCGTGTACAGTAGTTTGCTTTGTCAGACGCTTCAGCTGGAGGTTTTGCGCGTGTCTTTGCTCGTTGTGGAGACACAGTAGACGACTAAGTATCTTGGATGCACGCATGATTATCAGAAGCGAGTTGAATTTTCAGACGTGAGCGAACACGAAGGAAACATGTGGTGCACTTGTGAAAGAGAAGTCCAACACACATGATAGATTTGATGCCATAGTACATAGTCAAGGCAACCGGAGCGTCAAGATCAGAGTGAGAGTAAGAGGAGCAGATTAGAAAAAACGATAGAAGAGCGACAGCTGCAGAAGTCTCACGGGAGCACGGATTATTATACATCATCGACAGTTGCGCGTCTGCTGGCTCCATCCTTGATATTACATCCACCCTACTTACTTTATCCCTACATGGGTAATGAAGGTGGTAAAATGAGTTACTTCTTTCCTTCGACAACTACATCTACACGTCATCACGTACAACAAAAAACAACCACCTCTAGCCGCACACCTCACTTCGAGAGTCGTTAAAAACTCGCAAGAGTTAGAACTAAATTTCTATTCAAGTCACTCGCTGACGGATTCAACAAAAATGGCAGCCTATTTTGCCCCAGTTTCCCCGATGGACGTCGCTGCGTGGGAGAACCAGCGTAACACCCTTTTTGGATAGCTAAATCGAGGAGCTCACATGTGATTTTCCAATGTTTATGCTTACTAGAAGCCAATGATGAGTCTCTCCGAGGTCACAAGAACAGTGTACTAGTAGAAGGAGTCTTCCATCAGGGGGGTGAATTCAATCATTTATAATACTAAGGTGAAAGCGCACAGCGCGAGCTGGAAGTCTCTTTCCTGCCCTGGGTGCACGACCGTGCGCGCGAAGTTTGCCTGTTCGCGAATCGCAACTATCATCAAAAAGGTCGCGGATGCGTCGTTTTCGTACCACTTGTTTTTCAGGAGCTAGTAGTATCAACAAGTTAGATATAGATGTTTAGATGCACGAGTCAGTAGAGTTGTTCACCACGAATCGACACCAATTACACCATCTCACAACCATAACCAACTTCTGTCCCCCAGACACCAAGCAGGACCTCCCAACAAGAATCACTTCTTCCATTTCGTCACGTCAACAGATGTTTTCCTCAGTGAAGGAAATCTTTGAAGAAAAGTGGCTCGATGCTGCTTGGAAGTATTTGGCGCAGGATCAAGTGCACGGACTTGCTATGAAAACCAACCATATCCTAAGCGCCTTGGAACGGTACCTCTACATGAGTTGAGATCGTGAGCTTTACTGGCTTTTTTTTTGCTGATTTCACATATTAGAAAGGAAAAGAACAAACTTATATCCGTTTAAGTCCGTTCCCTCGCATTAATCCCACCCTTAACATCCAAAAAATATTCATATAGTTTAAAGTCTCCAAAAATGGTCATCATCTTCGTCTGACATCAGGTACAATCCCCTGTCGCATTGCGTTGTTGTTGTATTGATTGCGGAGATTGCGTTTGACCGTTTCTATTTCCTCCGTGCTGATGGCCAAAGTTCTCACAGTCGCCGTATGCAGGAATACAACTTGGTACCTCTTTGATGCATCTCGGAACAAACATCAATAGGTCTGATCTTGGTTTTTTACTCACTAGAAAAGAGCGGAGGTGCGGCCTCGAGGATTTCCTGAGGTTCACAGAAGGTGTGACTCGTCGTAATCTCCTCAGAGTTCTCTCGGAATAACCTCAGTTCGTGAAGATTTTCTTCTATCTTGGTGCTTTTCATTCAGTAATCACCAGTATTCATATACTTAAGAACAATCTTTGATGTTCCTTATTTCTTCAAATCAGCGTACCTATGGCGTTCGTGAGTTGCCTCGTGTTAAGAAGCCGCTGCCGGATATCATGAAGGAAACCATTGAGCGCATGGCGATTGAGGGTGACGATTTCTTTAAGCACGAAGAAGAGGAAAACAAGATTATGACACCCAAAATCTGCCTGCTTAAGTACAACAAAACAAATAAGTTGTTTCAAAGCCTCCAAGTAGTATATGATTTTAGAACAACGAGTATAAGGAATGTACTGAAGTAGATTGTATGCTTCTCTCATCGCACTACTACTGCTACGACTGTCTTCAACTAGCACGAAAACTTCACGTTTCATGTCTAATCCTGAAAAGGCTGGTGTCGAGATTGACGTTGCGGAGGCTGAAAAATCTAAGGAGGAAAACGGAGATGAAGATTCTGAGAAACGCGTTTCGCCTAATACCAAGAAGATGCTGACTTCTGAGAACGGATCTCCAGAAACTGAAAACTCTACCGCGAACAGCTCTGGCTCGCCCACGATCAGCAACAATACTCCGGATGCAGATGTTGAGTCCGGCAACGGCAAGGCGAAAGACACTGCTTCGAAGGACGACAAGAACGAAACTTAAGACAATAAACTATTTAGCTGGCTGAAGATTAGCTTTAAAGTAGATGGTGACAAGCTTATTGTTTTTATTTTTCATTTTACTTAATTCTAGTTCCTTTTTTTCATCGTCGAGTGGACCCTTGTTTAACTTCCTGGAAAGATGAACTCGTTGATGAGGAAATGCTGTTTTTCTAACACATCCCGTCCAAGCTGTTCAAGGCTCCGCCGAAGCCGCTGATGCCGAAGCAACTGCTGCCGCCGTGTCCGCCCTCCGCCGCGCGCAAGCATCTGCCGGCCCCGCCGGCCGTGCCCACGACTCAGAAGCAACTGGCCGCCACGACCCTCCAGCAACAAAAGCAGTTGCAGCAAGCTGCGCAACAAGCCGCGACGCTGCAGCACGCCTACCAAGTCGCTGTGATGGCCTTGTACGGTCCCGCTGCGAACTACGCCGCTGCCGCAAACTACGCCGCTAACTACACGTCGCTGAACATGAACCAGTTGGCATCAGGAACGACCACGACCACGGGCAATCAAGCGGGAACCAATGGCGCGAACGGAGTCTCGGGTTCCACCACGGGAACAACGAACCCGCCACCGCCGCCACCCCCGATGGGCTCTCTCTACTCCAACGGGAACCACGGCGCTTCCGCGAAAATCCTGAACAAGGACTTCTACTCGGCCTACGCTGGAACGCAAACAAAAAACTGCATGAAGGGAGCTTACGGCGATGCGGCCAGTGAGCGCCTCTATGGCTCCAACACGACTGGTAATTTTCTATCACCAAGATGCTGCATGAAGACTCTGCTTAATGCTTCGAACAAAAAAAGTTATTGCAAGGTGTAAAACAAGAGCTGGTACTTAGTATTGTTTGTCTTTAATATCTTTTAAATAGTATAAACAGTGATAATTATGATCTTCGTGTGTCATCATTTACTTGTTTTTGCTGAATATCAATATATAGCATTTCCGTATTTGTCCATGTCTAACGAACAGGTTCCCCGCCTGGTTTGTCTTCTTCTCCGCCGTCGTCGCCGTACACCAGTACCGCCTGGTTTCCCGGATCCAACAGTCCTGGGGACAGTTTATATGACGATGTTGTGTTGGTGAACACCTCTTCGCAGATGGCTGGCATGGGAGGCTCTGCTCTTGGCGGAGGCTCTACTCTGGGCATGGGCACTTCTCACATGCAAGGTGCTACCGGTGGTGCCTCTGCCATGGGAGGTGGTGTGGGCGCTGGTGGTGCTTCCATGGGAGGTGCGAACAACCATCATGGTTCCTCGAACAATCATCATCAACATCATTCCGGTGCCACCATGGGCGGAACGACCCACCATCATGGCGCGAACAACCATCACGGGGCGACGCATCATCATCACATGGGGGGCCACGCTACGCACAACCACACTGGGCACATGCAGTCGACCGGAAATGGGATGAATGGCGCCTTCGGAATGATGCAGAACACGCAGGCTGAGAACAACAAGTCCTTGTTACCGAACAACGGGGCGTCGGCCACGGGTGGTCACGCAGGGAGTGTCCATCACCACCACCACAACCATGCTGGAAACGCCACGCATCACCATGGTCACAACAACACGGGTCTGGTAGGCCACAATGCGCACCACAGCAACGCAGCCTCCAATGCGCACCACAACAACACAGCCTCCAATACGATGATGGCGACCGGCATGGAAGACGCCACCGGAAACGGCAACTACAACAATTATTAAGGCCAATTCTACTCCACACGTTATATGTTTTCTACGCTAACAGCAATACATACGTTTTGATGTTGGCATGCTGTCGAATCACAGGCTATTCGGGTACCAGGGCAGCTCTGACGTCAACTATAACAGATCCGTTAATTTGAACATCACCGACGATGGCCTACTTAGCTCTAAGATTACACTGCGCCAATGCACAACTACGACGTGAACTACTCTGCCGCGGCAGCTCCCTCTCCCTACTACGATTGGCTCGCGATGTAGGGACTCTCCTCATCACGAAAAATGGTGGGATTATTAAGACTTTGTAGCACCAGGGGCGGGGAACCGTAGGAGGGATTGATAAGTCATATTCGTGTTGTTGTTCACATCACGCGAAGGTCCTCTATTTTTGGAGGGTAGCCGTTTTGATAGCTCGTCGCGTTGGTAATGGGAAAGATAGGGACTAGTACTTCTCAGAGTTGTATCATCTAAGTACTTGTTAGTAAAAAATACAGCGCGATCGCCAGCAGCACCGTGTACAGCTCCGTGAATTTAGTAGAAATAGAGAACAAGTGGTAAAAGATAAGTTTCTCTAGGAGGCCGATCTCGACGCTGGTGGAGGATGTGTGACGTTGAAAAGAAACGAAGTGATAGGTCGTCTCGAAGTGAACATAATCATAATGATTTTGTAGTGCGCAAATGCTTACTAGCTGAAAGATATGAGTGTTAGTGTTTGTCTCTTTTCTAGGTTGTACCAGATGAACGCGACTTTTATGAAGAACTAGTATTCTAGTACCAGATGTACTAGGATTCTGGTACTTCTTCATTTTTCTAGCGAGAATCTGAATTTACAAAAAGATTTTGTTGTAGCTGGACGCGAAGCTCTGTACAGATGTGACATGGTGACTAATTTCACGTAAAAATGATGTTGTTTCTTTGGTTCGTAGTAGGCTTTCGGAAGATCATTATTAATAAAGGCCGTTGATAGTAGTTGTAAAAACTGATCTTCACGTCCTTCTCCAACTCGAAATAGAACCAGAAAGTATGAAAAAATTATGGTTGTTTTGATGTCTGTTCCGTAATTCTTGCAGTATTAATTGAGTACTTGTTGTTAGTTTACTTTCTGCATAATTATTGAGTCCTCCGCAGCTAGGAGGTGCCTCGCGGTGTGAAGCGAAGAGGAGACCACCTCTATTGCATCAGCTTTTTATTATCCATATCCACGACCTATCACGAGGGCCGCTCCTGGTGGGTTCTTCCCTTACGAGGTTGACCCGTTCGTGGAGCTCCTGAACGATTTCATTATTCAAGACCATCCGGTGACAACTTATCAAAACGAGGCCATCCCGCACGGAGCTTGGGGAAACGAAGGATGTTAATAGAGCTCCTCTTTGCATGCATTCTGCTTGAACTTGATGTACCGCCGGTTGCTAGTTATTCTTTCGTTCAACTAAAATTTAGAGACTTTATTGAATTGGTCCTAGAAGTATGTTACCCGAAAAAAAAAGTCGGACCGGAAGTTTTGAAAACCGTTGTTCGGATATTTTTGACACCATTCATTAACAAAGAGACGACGATGAAGACTCATTTTGTAGTATGTTGTAACAAGAAATGAGAAGTACTAGTATCAAATTGGGGAGGATGAACAAGGGGAGGAACGCAGGAGTAGACAATTTATGAATTGCTACAAATGCTCGCTACTCGAAGAAAGTAATAGATACTGATCAACAAGAGATAATTGTGGAGATACTTAAAATGTTGATCAAAGGAGTAGGTTCTTGTAGTATGTAGAAACTAAGATTTGTTTGTTGCTAATGTCCGACCAATTACTTCGTTCTTGTTCTACTCAAAATAAGCTTTGATAATTTCTGATTGTAAAAAATAGACCTGCTGACTTCTCGTCTTGTATCCGTACGACTATCGTCGCGAGTAATATTATTACAACAACTTTTTCCTGCATTACACTTTTTCATCAGACAAGTACGAGAAATGGTATACTTTTCAGATAACTTAATTCGAATTTCAAATTTTGGAATCGGAGTAGTTGTCGCCGGTACCGGGCCAACGTTTGAACTGAAGTTACAATCAATTCACTTTTGTCCTTCACAATATCGACGATATTTATTTGTAATTCATCTTCACATTCACAAGAATCAAAATCAAGATCAACAAGTAATATTTTCTTTTGTACAGCGAGCTCTCTACAACTTGATGTAATAACTTAAACTCAGCACGTCGTAGGTTCGGAGTTGTGAACTTAACACCAGGAGGACGAGCACTAATACTTTGATGCTGAAAATATAGCTATCTTCTTTCGATCTCGAAGTTGTATCAGTGTTTGACAACCTGAAGAGACCTCTACTTACGAGGCGTTTCGGATTTCCAGGGTTTTTTAAAGTCACTTGACAACACTGACCTTCAAAGCAATGCCCTTGCTTCCAAGCTTTTTCGTATGTCGAAAGTCCACCTGAAAAAGATCCCGTTGGGTACTCCAACTTCTTCCGTCAGAAAGTTGATGTGAAGACGGTACGTTAGAGAAACAGGGGAACACGCGTCTGTGGTCGCTAAGGCTGCACAGTCTGTGGAATCGCGCGCTAGAGTGACCTTCACGGACATCCTTGTTCCCGAGGCTGATTATCACGCGTCTCTCCGAGGTCGTATAGGTTCACGAGTGAGGTAATCAGTGGACCTCATCTCAGCCGCGCATAACCGCAGTAGCTCACGCTGCCTAGTGAAGCTATACTTAATTTTCGCCACGCCACCACACCTAGCACCTAAATACGAAAAAAAATCTGTTGAGAGTCGAGTGAAACCGAAATGCATAAATGCCACCTACCTACCTGGGTGATTTTTAAGCATTTTGGTGACCCGCCAGCCGCCTTTTGGAAACTGATTGGGGTCTAGAGTGTTCCCAACTTCTGTCATGTGTGAGTCGAGAGGCACGGACTTGTTTACGGACAAAAAGAAAGAGGGGGGAAGAATAGAAAAATTTCAGATCTTACGCGCAGCTTGATGTAAAAGGGGGAGAGCGTCCCATCGCTCTCCCTCGCCGATCCTTTTATCTCCCGCCCGCTCTTAGCAGAGAAGTGGCTAGCAGGCATAAGGCAGCCCCTTTGGTAGGAGTAATCCCTCCGGTTTCTGTTTTTCTTTTTGGGTATTTTATGGCGATTGCGGAAGCGGGATCCGGTTGAGGATGGTGCACGCCGCGAAGGAGGGAGCGCGAGGCAGTGAAGATAAGAGAAACTAGGTTAGTGGTCCCTCAACAATGAAAAACGTGTTGTACTTAGGGCCTTACGCCAGTAGGCATTTATTTTTATGTATTCACTTGTCAGTTGATTGCGCATTAGTCAAGAGTTAGCAGGGTTGGCATCCCCTGCGCTCGTGCCTTGTAGGTAGGCGTATAAGAGTGGGACGGTTGGCAGCCGGTGGAGGTTTATATAAAACTCTTAATCCGCCTCCTTTACCCCTAGGGTTCATCTTTTTAGAATCGGCAGGTTCGTAGGCAATTAGTGCGCTGTATTATAAGGAGGTAACCGGACTCCACCTGCCGTCGGTTTGCGAACCGGATAAAGCTGAGGCCGCTCATTTAGTAGCCCCGGGATACAAAAAAAAAAGTCCAGGCTGAAGCGAGAAGCCCTTGAATCTTGAATCTTGACCACAATCTTCATCTGATGCATAAGATTACGCCGTGCATCTGGATCAGAATTTTGGTCAGGATCATGAACGACCACGTCGCCTGACGATCATCCTTTCCCGACTAAAATCGGTATTGAGAAGAAGATGAAGATTAGGATTCTCAGTGTTGCTCAACCTTAGGGCAGGACCCACAATGGGAGTACGGTCGACTTGTGAAGAAAATATTTGCTGTTTTTACTATAAAGACCCCATCAAGGGATGTCTCAAATAGTAGTAGCATAGGCCGCCACTTAAGTAGAGCGACAACAACCAATGTTTGAGAACGCATACAGCCTCCATGGAAAGAAATTTTTTCATCTGTATTACAAGGAAATTTGAATCTCAGTACAACATTAGCAGCTGCGTCTGCAGCATTGGCTTTCAATATTTCAGTACAACACTGTTTACTGTATACGGGTAAGAAAATGGCGTCTCGCACCTCGTCGATCACGTCGCACGTTTTGGTTCCTTCGCTTCTCCTGAAGTTGCTACAACTCTCGAACTTGCTACAGCTCCATGTTGTGGTCGCGGCTCGAAGGAGTTTCCTGCAAAAGAGAGTTCCGAGCAGGAAACTGGAAGCCGAAATCTCTAGTCGAAGTTATGACGCCTCCTTCTACGTCGAAGAAGAGGACGTCTTAGGACAAGAGGAAGAGACCCGAGCTGCCACAACATCTTCAGTGTCCTCGCCGGTCGAAAAAAAAACTAAATTTTGCCCACTCTGCTTGACGGATGTACCAGATGAAGAACACGAGGACTCGAATGGCAACAATGTGGTTCAGTTCCTGTTACCTTACACCTGCGGGCACGGATTCTGCAGTGCGTGTTTGGATCAGGACGGGGTTTCAGCCGTAGCAAAGGTGCGCGTGACGGCGTGCTGCCCCACGTGTAGTGCATCTCCAGTGTTGTCGCAGCGAATAGCGCATGACATTCGACTGCAAAAGCCGCGGTTGATTCGAGCGAGTGGGACTGAGTATCGCCTTGCTTTGTTCACGGATTGTGGTGCCGCACAGTGTCTCCAAGAATCAGACATGAACCTCCACGGAGCAAGAAAACGAACAACAAGAGCGGGATCTTCAAGCTTTTTACAGAAAAGGCAGTGGCTTGTACTCTCTGACGAGGCGCCTGAATCTTTGCTGTTGTTGGAACGAGATGTAGCGCTGAGGGAGAATAACTGCAAGTATATGCCTTCGGTGCACGCACTCGAACGAAGCTTCCCGCTTTTGACTACCGTTATGAAAAGGTCTCTGCTGCCCCCGTGGAATTGGTAGTTGCTCCGTGGTCAATGATACAAGAATATTCTTATCTCAATAGCGTTCTAGAATTTCTTGAATACCGAAGGGTCACAAGGCTGCTTATGTAAAATGGAAGAAGAAGAAGATTTTTTCTAATCGGAAAGAGGTGACAGAGACTTTTATTTCCGGAGTCGAAGACGTTGTCGCGCGCTCAAAAAGCGGGTTACGCGAGCACGATCCAATAATCAACTTGCGTGCCCATTTGTGGCTCTACCTCAATGGTGTGTGCCGACGAGCAGAGCACGGTTTTTCAACTACTAGTTTCTCGCCGAGGAAAAGTGTAAACCAAGACGAACAAAATAGAGCTGTTCTAGAAGTACCTCCAGAGGAGTGTCCTGGCAGTTTCTCAACCAGTGCAGTGACGAAAGAAGCACGCCTTCCTGCTAAAGCACTGGGGGATCTCGTGGACGTTGGACCTGATGAGGTATCTTCGTCTTCTTCATCTCCCAGCTTTGGGCAAGAACAAGGCCCTGCTTCAGGCGCTGCTTTGCTGGGAGGTGATCCACAAGGACCGATCGAAGATGTTGGTGACTTAAACTTTGAAGAAGAAGATTTTGAAGAGGGAGCCACTTCAAGGTGCAGTCGTAGCAGGGCCTCTTCTACTGTTAAGGGTTACAACTGTTCATCGTCCACAAAGATCCGTAGCTCTTTTTCAGATAGAAACTAAGTCAGGGAAGACTTTGTGAGGAATGCAAGAATTGCGTCCCCTCTAAACAGCATGGTATCGTCAACAGCCGCCGCGCCACCGTGGTATCGGTGGAAGAGATTCCGACAGCAGACGCCGCTTTGTTTTGGCACGAAATTTGCGCGTCGCCGCTTTCGCTTTTGGCAACTCTTTTTCATCCTCTTGTCCGATGTTGTGTGGCCGGAGCGAAGAGGGACCAAGGCGGACGTCGTGCGCGAGAAGAGGCGGCGCGAGAAGAGACACTGGTTGCTCTTGATCATATACTACAGGGTATGCCAGAAACTACGCATCTACTTGCCTGTCAAGAGAAGAAACCGCCGAGTGCAGTCGTTGAAATATCCTCAGCAGGAAAGTCTTCAGCGGACGGTGGAATTACCACAGGAACACTGCACGCGCTCGTGACGGGCGGAGGTGTGATCCTTTTTTCAATGGAGAGGTTGCAAGGATGCCTTGTTGTCATGTCCAGTCCCGAACCCTCTGGTAATGCGAGCGGTCTGGCAGAGACAGCCTCTTGGGTACCCATAGTTAAGGCTGAGTAGTCTAACACTATCCTATGTGAACTATGTTGAGTGGGGTCGTCCTTGATTTAAAAAGGGGAAGCTGGGCAAAGAGGGCAACCCACTCAGCCAGGGATAGTGAAAACATACCTTTAACATAGATGCCCGAACCCCCGCCGAATCACGAGAAAGCTGTGCACTAGCTCGGAGGCTGCTGGATGGTGTATTGATGAGGACACACTCCGATCACAAATGATAGATTTTTAGTTCATAATTCTGTTACTTGTCATATCCGTTACGTAGCTGCTTTGCTTGGAGTCTAGTATGATTTGCAATCCAGCAATTTCTGCAGTAGAATGCGCTGCATCTATTGCATTTTCATCAACTCTCATGATTACTACTCTCACGATTGCAGTTTGATGCTTAGACATTGCCGCATTTGTTATTCCTGAAACTTATTTATGAATACAATGTATTTCGTGCTATGAAAGATGATTGATTTTAATACTGGTGGTTTGTGAAAAACTAATATTATGGCGTTTACGATTGAGGGTACGCGAGCACGACCACTTATCTACTTGGCAAAGACCGTGTGATATAGGTTCTTTTCCATATCTAGCGATTTTTTTACATAGCTGAATTCTCTTACGCCTCCTTAGGTAGTTAAGCTACAACTATAACACGGAACGAAAACATGACAATGACACTGATAGACGAGGGGCTTTGCCCGCACTCCGATCAGCTGACGTTGAAGACAATTTTTGCAATACCCGCTGCTCTTTCTTTGATATCTAAGTAGGTATATCATCTGCACTATTGTGTAGTGAACGCTGAAATTGCGAAGAGGCACGCCACATTCTGAATGACTGTGGGTCCACACAAATTGATGTGGACGCCGTGGCGCTACCGCGTGTCCTTATCGCAAAGATTCTTTTTCTTTTCTCAACATCGGTCGAGAGCGCCAACATCAGAAACACTGAGTTCATGTGAATGAAAAGAACGAGAGCTGTGAAAAAAGGGCAGATTGTCGCCAACTTATAAGGACCTATTTGCGAGAAATAGATAAGGTGTGACACTTGTTGTATGGCGTGCGCAGACGGGATGGCGACGGAATGTGCTAACTAAGAACGAGAAAAGAAGATACCCAGATGCTTCCCTGTATTTTCGAACCAGCGACCTTAGCAGCCGTGCGCGTGCTGGAGAAAGCAGGCTCTTCGACAAGTAGTGGTCGCAACAGCGACGTCACAGCCGATGTCGAACCAAGTGACGAAACACTCACGTTCGTCAAAGTCACTCGGCTTATCGGCTATACGAGCGATAACTTGCGTGAGGTCGGCGGACACTCTGTGCGCTTGGGGCTGCAACCGCCTCTGCGGCGTCGCGTGAGGCCGGGGATTTATCTGGTGTCTTTGGAGATCGGAGCTAGCGCGTTACAAGAGGGGGGCAGCGAAGGTAGTAGTTACGCAACTACTACCTCTGAACCACGGCGGATTGTAGGTTTGGGAGCAGTGCCGACGGTAGAACAGGTTGGTCCAAATCGTATTGAGGTGATGTTGTTGCGTGAGAACGAGAATGTGCGTCCGGGATCTGAATCAACGGTCCGGTATTGGAGGGAAGAGGAGATACGGGAAGAAATCAAAGTTACTTCATCGCCTACAACTGAAACAAATCCAAATTATGCTGGTGGAAATCATAATATCGCAGCAGAGCATGTTGAGCAAAGGTCCAGTGCTTCTCCTCGCCCTCTTAGAGAGGAAATCACAGTGCGATTTCTTTATCGTGTTGCAGATTTCTCGTACATTGGTGTGGGGCCATGGTTGCGAGACCAAATTCTGAGGCACCAAGATATGGTAAACCAAAAGCTGGCGACTTCATCTCGCGGGGTCGTTCCTGTTGTTGTAGACACTAATATTACACCAACAAACTCCTGTTTTGAGGATGACTCAGCGGTAACACAGTATACAACAGGCGCGCAACTTCCGGGTGTTGCGGGTGGGGATCGAGGTCAGGTTGAGAGTGAAGCGAAAGAACCTGATGAAAAGACAATGGCACAATACTGGACAAAACATGGAGGAATTTGATGTCCTAGAAAGAAGCCAATGTGGGTAGCCAACGCGCTGTGAACTCAGTTCCATATTTGAGTGCTCCTGCTTTGTTCCATATTCATGGCCTTGATGAAGGAGCACAGTCGCAGTACAAAGGGATGTGCAGTACACGTGTTGAAAACGGAGAAAAGGATAACGCCTTCGCAAAGACGAGTCTACATTCATACGATGTGATTTCGTATTATGTTTCTTATTTTTTTGTCATTGAATGCCAGTAATAGACTCTGATCGCAAGTCTTAGTACTTTGATTTCGTCTTCATAAGATTTCGTCATTTGCCACATCAAGATAAGAATGCAGGTTGTCCCTCCGGTGCACAGTGTTTCATCGAGAGCGAGCTCCAGTGGCTCACGATTCTTCGCTGCGTGTGCAGGAAAACGTCGACGGTTGTACTCTGCCAGCGAAGTGCCATGCGATTGTTGCGATGATGCTCGTCTTTCATCCATTTTGACAGTCTGTGCCGCTGCTTCCCCAACCATGGTGCTAGGTGGCTTGCGATCATCAAGAACGGTCACTAGAACAAGCACGACAGCACCCTTTTCTACAAGAACACGCACTGACATCACAAGAAGCAGTTTGCTTTCCGGCAGTTCAACCTCTGCGGAGGGACATGCTGCCACAATCTCTATCCTGCATTTTCGAATTGGAAAAAGGTTTCTCCATGTTGAGCCCGCTCCTCTAATGCACCAGACGTTAACGACTGAGTTGTCATTGCCGCAGTCGGCAAGGGAAATCGCGAAGACCGAGCGACTCCGCGAATTGAAAACAGCGGCAGAACGCGACCGCGCACGTCGACGGCTGCATGGTTGTATCTGGCGCGCGATGGCAGCCCTAGATTGGAACCGGTGGCACAGCCTGTTCCAAGAATTCAAGCTACTAAAACTTGCGTATGACGAAGTAACGTACATGCTCTTGCTTATGGAACAAATTACATTTTGAAGATTCTTGACCACTGCCTATCTGATCGATCCAGGATTTTTAGTAAATATCTCTATCTGCTTTTTCGTTCTCCAGGGCTACTATTCCAGGATTAGATAGAGGATTGAATATGTCCCTGCTACACGAGCTGAAACCGAACGATGACTCGCTTTCTAAATTTTTCTGGGGGCACGTCCTCTCGCACCGCCACCGTTCGGAGAATGCACTCTTAGTTTTGGAGGCTATGCGCTCAAGCAGTTTTATTCATGGCGGATTATTGCGCGCCACTGAAGGCATGCTCCATTCCTATATGGAGCTCGCCGAATTAGACGCCCGTCCGGAGCCTAGTTCGTGGCAAAACGTGGTGCGTATGCTCCTACACTCGGCACAACGTTACCAGCGCAAACGACTGCAGCGCACAAAACGGGAACTCCTGGCGATGCCGCCAGATGCGGTGCTCGCTCTTACGCCCAATGATGTGCGTGCAACACTGCTCGACGACGTGCGAAAAAGTCAATTTCGTTTTGGGATCAGTGATGATGCAGCAGTTGCTCAGGACCTACAACTTCATGAAGACGCGGACAATCATAAAGCCGTTGGTGACAAAGACAACATGAACAACTGTAGGAGGAGAGAAGACGGCCACTTTCTTCCAGAATCAATAAGCTCAACATCAGCGCAGCCAGGGTACGGAGATATCGCACGCATGGCTGACGAAGAATTACAAGAATATTGTGGCGACTATGCACGTGGGGATTACCTACGCGCACTAGAAGTCGAGGAGGCACTCGATGAGGAGCTCACTGAAACCTTGTTTCAGGAAGATTCAGCAGCGGATGAAAAAACTCGCATTTTTGATGGTAAGACTTCTTATTAACAAGGTCATAATGGGCAGGGAATTGCTTTATCCCATGGAGTTTAGATGAACAACTTTAGAACTCTAGTGGTCTCCGAAAATTTCGGGTACGGCCACCAAGAGTTCGTTGCGTCAGCGCATTGTGTATTGACATGATCATGGTAAATATGATTATAGTATGGAATTTCTTGGCGAAAAGATATAGTGCTTGGTGTTTTCTAAAGTCTCGGAAAAGAGTCTTCGATATTGCCATGAAAAGTCAGAAATTCACAGTATCAGACGGCTGAAAGGGTTGAGAATTGACCGGCCCCGTTTAGTTTTTCCACGATAATGAAGTGAATTCAGTACCTTTGCGTCTGGATCAAAGGAACATGGCCCCCGTGGTGCTAGCGGGTGGCAGCGTGGCGGCTGCTTCTGCGGCTGCAGAGCACAGCGCTCCGGTTCCAGTGCCTGGCGTGGGGCCCGCCGCACGGGGCGCGATCACCCGAAGCAAAGAGCAGCAGCTGCGTCGACTCCATGCCGAGATCGAGCAGACCACTCGGAAACTAGAACTAGCCAAAAGACGCGTTCTCAAGCTTCAAGATGACATTTCAAAGGCTAAGCGAGAGCACGAAGCTTTATACCAGTCCAGGAGGGACGCGACGCCGACACGATCTTCAGCCGAAAGCAATGAGCGCTCGAACGACAACAAGGCGGCAAAAGCCTTGTTGAAATTGGATAGTTTGACGTTCGAAAATAACGCGCTCCGAAAGAAGATCGAGGGCGTTCGCAGAGACCGTCTGCAATGCAACCTGGTGCTGAAAAAAGTGAAAGACGCGCTGCGAGAAAAAGAAAGGTTTGGAACTTTCAAATTCTCTGCTGTGTAGTATGAACATGAAGTAGGTATGGGAGGACATTCCTCGTCACAATGTGGAAGAATGATAGAATCTTCACCTCCATTTCGGAGTAGAGTTCTTTCGGGTGAGGAGCAACTTAACACTATTTTCTTCGAAGAGCACGCTTCGATCTTTTCTTTTACATCACAGATCAATCGCCTCGTTGGAGGAAACAGCACAAGAAGCGCGGGAGGACGTGCAGAAAACAAAGGAGGCTATCGGGGAGGTGAAGCAGCATCGAGAACGGGATTACCGCGAATGGAAACACAAACTGCGAACTTTACAAGAACAGTTGAGGATGGAGCGCGCTCGAGCTCTCGGATCTCGGGCCGCACCATCCTCATCTGGGAGCGGTCGAGCCGCACCATCCTCATCTTCTGGTGGCGGCGTCGTGGGTAGTGGTGTTTCCTCTTCGCTGCCAGCTATAGAAGATGCAACTCCGAGTGGTGGTAGTGGAACGGCGAGTGGGGCGAATGGAGGAACAACTACAGGTGGTGGGGCGGGGCGCGCGGCAAAAAAGCTAACGATTAATGTGAATGCAAACACGTTCGTGGAGGAAGATCAGCATAGTCCAATGTCGCCGAACTCTGGACCAAAGAGGACCGCTTTGAAGAACAGCAATGCGGGAGGAAACTCCTCCAATAATGCCGCAAATAAGACGAGGAAGCAGGTGACCGTACAGCCTCCTGGAGGAACACCGGGAGGGGGGACGAGTGGCATTTACAGCAGCTCTAGTAATAGCAATAACACGCCTGCGAATGGGTCTTCTTCCTCTTCCTCAAGTAAAACGCCACTAAGTCGAAGACCGCTAACTTCCGCGAACAAAACAGCGGAAAAGCACATCGCAGACCAAGGGAAAAAGAATCTTCTGTCCCCATCCCATGAAGATCGCAGCGAATTCTCGGAGCACCGCTTTATGAGGCTGATATTCAAAGCGGCATTCTGCAACGCGATACAGCGTAGACACATCAAGCAGCACCAGAAATCGATTCAGGTCCTCATAACTCATCTGTCCTGTTTCAAAAAGAGCAATCTTCGCAGCACCAATCTTTATTCTTTCTACAAAAAAGCGTTCTATTTTTTCAGCCACACTTGTAACTACAGCAAGGATTTGCTTAATTCGATGACATGTCTACTAGAATATGACAGGTGTACGAGCAAGCGTTTGACACGATAAAGAGCAGCACGGGGATAAGTGACATCGAGGAGATTGTGAAGATATTTACCAAGCTGGAGGAACGGAATTACAGTCTTCTGGTCTATGTGAACATGCTTTCGCAAGACATCGAAGAGGTGCAGAGAAAAAAGCAGCAACTCCTGCTGGAGCGTGGGGAGCAACAGGAAAAGTCGAGTGCTCTAGAGAAGAAGCGTGCGCACCTGCTTGAAGGTGTGCAGCGGAAGGTCGATAGATACAATTACGAAGATGTAGAATTTTGGTAGAGGACAGACTTTGATTCTGAATAGTACTCTGCGCTTTCTAGTCTTCTGTTCTTCATCAAGGACTATTAGTTGTACCAGGAGGTTAGAAAAGATGAACCACTCTATCATGGACGTGTCTCTAATCCGTGGAACTAACGAGCGAGATGCAGCATCGCATAGAGCAAAGCAAGATTCCAGACAGCGTTCAGGACATGGTGGTTAGCATTTCTTGTACGCTTCACGAGCAGAACGTTACGATGCTACGACAACAACAAGGTTAGTTCTTGGTTGTGTTGATTATTCTTGAGAATCAGAATTGAGTCGTTGTCCGTTTGAGAAGATTCGTCTCATTGTGCGCTCCACTATTTGTTTCCGCAAAAAGCAACGATAAAAATCTTTAATGAGAGTTCTAGCAATAGTTCACCCTGTTCTCCAACTACAACAGCTGGCAGTTCCGGTGCTTTTTCCGCGCTGACTCAACATCCCTGTGCCAACGCGTATACTGTGGCGAACATGCACTCTGTGAATCCTTTTGGGGAGGACGCGGCCGATGTGAAGTTTGAAGACTATCTTGTCTACATTGAGCAGGTTCTGACGCAATGGCGAGAGTACCTGCCAATAGCACCAGCCCTCGATGCAGAGCGTGCGATTCCAAAGCCGTTCCCATACATTATGAAGTCGAACAATAAAAGTTAAAGTTCATCTTTATAAAGATTTTGTCTTACGCGTCTGACAATGCATGTTAGAATGCCCAATCTCAACTTCAAGAAAAAGAAGATTTCGCAACAGCAGATGATATCACGACCAAAAAGACTAGGACCCCCTCCTTCATGCCCTCCGTGGCGCACGAAGTTAAGACTCAGTTAGCTCCGAAACGAGCACAGCTTCCGACGTTGCTAAGGATCGCAGATTTGCCGTCTGCAAACCTTACTGATTTGCGACAAGGGAAAGACACAGTTGCGTCTGTTGGAGGAGGTACGAATCAATTCACTTTCATTCTGTGCACCTGCTGCTTTCCATCCACAACTCTCTCCTGTTGATGGTCTCAATAATTTGACATTTCTTGAGTCGACATTTGACAACCCCCCCTAGCATCTGAAGAAGATAGTATCAATCTACAAGTTACTGAGTTATTCTTTTCAGGTTCTTCACCCGAGCGGAAAAAGGACGATGAGGATAGCGACGATGAAGAGGATCGCGCGCTATCGAAGGAAGAACTGCAAGCAAAAGTGAACGCTGCCCTGTCCAAGCGCAAAAAGAAACATGCCAATGTGAGGCTCACTGCGCATAGAAGAGGTCCGTAAGCAGTGAAAATTATAATACAGAGGACGTATCATGTGGATACATACTATAAGATCTTCTGACTTGAAAATATATGATTGTACGACTTAGACTTGATCATGCCCTTCTTTGCACAATTTTCAAGACTCAACTACAGGTTCGCAAGACGAGGACGCTCTTGCGAAAATCAGAGCTGGGGAAACAGGTGGGGAAACGAGTGCAGCAAAAGCAGCTTTGGCGGACGACGTGTCTGACAAGTCATCGAGTGCAGATTTGAGTGATAGCGATAGCAGCTCCTTCTCTTCATCGAGCGAAGAGGGACCGACGGACGAACAGATTAACGAAATCTTTCTCAAGAGGTCTTTATTTTTTCGCATTACTATTGTTCAGATCACGGTGGCTTGCCAGGAATGCGTTGCAATCCCTATCAATACTTAAACAAGTTTCTAATATCTCGACCATGAGCAAGCATATTATGGTGGTTGCCCCTGGCATCAACAAACTTCAATTTTTTCCCTCCAACAAGCGTACCCTCCAAGACGCACTACAGGTACAAGATGTCCAAAGCGGATTTAGTCGCTCTTAGCGAAAAGATGGGTATCGCTTTGAATAACTTGTGCTACTTGAAGCAGGAATTCGATTTGTATGATGAGGATAGTAGCGGCTTCATCGATCTGGACGAGTTGCGGGAATTGCTGTCGAAACTTGGCGAAGATCTATCCGAAGATTAAGACCACTGGAAATCCATCTTTAGAAGCATCTTGGGGGCTCTCTTTAAGGGAGAAAAAGGCTCAGGATCATTTTCAATATGGATTTCGGGAAGGTCTAAGACGAGGAGCTCTTGAACGCATTTAAAGAACTAGACTCGGATTGCAGTGGCGAAATCGAGTTCTTTGAATTCGTCGAGTGGTTCACTAGTGAAGAGTAAGCTACGAAAGTAAGCTACTTGTACTTCATCTTCTTGCTTCTCGGAGGGTGTGGTTGTCTGATAGCTCGAGTTGTGGATCAAGACTGTGTGGCGGGGGGACTCTCAGTTAGATATAAATCGCCAGACTTCCGTCCTTTTTCAGATTTGGTAGCGGACAGCGTCTCTCAGGAAAACCAGGCAGTTCGACCCAATTTCTTAAGGAAAGAGAGGGCATATCTCCTTTGCCGTGAACTTGCATTTCGGAAACAGAGATAGTAGTTAGTACTAGCGTCTAAAAGAATGAAATTTCTAGATCGTTGCATTTTCTAGTTTCTTGATTTCTTACCAATCTACGAAAACTTGTGCTGAGCTTGTAAATTTTCGTATGGGCCTGCATGTTTAATCTATTTTCAATATAAATACTCTATGCAGCTGACTTGTCTCTCTGCTGAAGACATCAAAATTTTCAGTGAAAAAGAAATATGGAAAAAGGGCTGCAGTGATAGTCGATAAGTTTCAGGTCGATGCAACATTGAAATTAGTTTGAAACCGAATCTATAAAAGCACAAAGACACCCCACAAAAACTGAAAGTTTCTTAGATAATACTCTCTCGCAAACTACTCATGCATTTACTGTATATGTCTACCTTTATTTTCGACTACAGTCTATAATTCACAAAACGAACCATTTTTCTTATCTTCCGCGTTGCTTCTCGGCCGGTTTCAAAAGCGGCCCACTGCATTCATTTCTAGTTCTTTTGTTTCATCCCTGTCCTTGAAAACGACGCAAATGCGATCTCTAGTAGAGAAAAGGTTGAGAAGAACGAGGACAAAAGTACTTTTAACGTTGCAAAGACTGTGAACAGCACTTTTTTTATTTTTCAGGCACAGACCACTGCATGGTAAGCACATCATTTCATCAGATGAAGAGCACATTCTGTAGCAACTAGCGCAGAAGCGCAAGAGACGAAACGTGCTATCTGTATCTCAGCACTAGCAAAGAAATGTGTTGTATGCTGGGGCGGTCCTGCGGCGAAGGCAAAGTGTTCAACGAAGACACGTTTCCATGTCCAAAAGAAGCCTGTACTAGAGGAAGTTTGAGACCGAAAAAGAACACCGCAAATTGGCAAGACTGGCGTAGCTCTTATCTTCAAGTTTTCACGTAAAATTCGTTGCTGCTACCTGTATTTCTGGTTTGCCGTGGAATGAAAAAGATGTTGGAATGAAAACGTACAGGATAGAGTGAAAGTAGACGTTCAATAAAACTACGAAAGTCTGTCACGGAAACCTTACTCAAATGGAAACCTCGGTAGAAGTTGAACAATGAGGGTCATAGTACTGATTCGATAGCATTCACAAAATTTCTTAGAATTTAATAACATCCTAACTGACCACAGACCACTCTGACACTGTGAGTAAAGGTAAAAAACGGTGATTAGTAAAGATGGCGGCCGTTGCAGGAGGTGGCGGCGCTCGTGGGCCAGCGAACCAATTGCGGGAGGACCTGAGAGCTCACTTGACACTAGCCAGAAATTTCGCCGTAGAAGTACCGCACCACAAAATGATGTGTAAGGCCTTCCTCGATTCGTTCGAGGATGTGCGAATACACTGCAACAAGTACCAACTATTTTTTCTCAGTAGGAAGTCTCCTGCTGTCTCGGCTAGCAGATGGGGAGATGAAACCCCACCAGAAAGAGAATAAGTATCGAATACTGCTATGGATTTTTTCGATTTTTCTTCACAACATCAGCAGATAATTACAACTCATTTCTACTACATGATCACGAAATGCATTCCTAATCCAATATTACACCAAGGTATCGGAATAAAAAGTATATGCGTATGCTGCAGGATGTCGCAAATCACCAAAGGGAAGCTCTCGTTATCGAAACGCAGGACATAGACGAATGGTGTGGTAGGCAAGTTCTGAGAGGGGACGTCTTTGCGGCACACTGCGGGAGCTTTATTGGCGGCATTTCACACAATGTGCGGCTGTACCAGCGAATGTTCTACGATGTTGCAAGTATGGCCACAATATCAAATTGATATTTTGTTGCAATTCAGTTCGTCCACGAGTTGCCTCTTTATTGGTAATGGAGCAGAGTAGATTGTGCTTACAACTCTCATCAAAGAGGATCCTCCTGCTAGCAGGATGTCAATGATACAAAAATTCTTCTGCCATGATCACTCATGTCGTGTAACGCAGTCGCAGGGGGTCTAATATATTAAGTTGTTTACTGTAGGTCCAGCGACGCTTAAAGCACTAGGTAAAACAACCGGCTTGTTTTCCCTCTGACTTAAGGTGTATCCCTTCATGCAAAAAAGTTCTTCACTGTAGTAACTTTGCTTGTTTGGCAAACCCACCGCCCAATTCATATGAGAGGACATGCTTCCTGAGCACGATCACGGCGCTAGCGAGGACAGCCGGGTGCTCAGAAAATTCGCATTATCAAAGCAGATGAAAGAGGACGAAAAGCGGGAGAGGGATAGGATTGAGAAGGCAGGTGGAACCGAGGTGAGGACCAAAGATAATATGATTCCAGACAAGCTCAAGTACCCATTCGATGTCCGATTTCGGGAAACCCGAGTTGGAGCAAACGCAATACAACTTCCGCTTAGAATGGTCAAGTCCGCGGCGATTGGAAAGTTGGTACTTGTAAAAGCGAAGTACAATACTAAAGGAAATATTACAATAGACAGACTCTTTTCCATCTGAGGAAGAGTTTCGTCTCACCGGTGACGGAGGATTATCACTAGAGATGCAATATGACAATGCTGCTTCATGCGCAAGATTGATAGACGCTCGCATGGTCTGCGGTTCGAATACTTGACTTCTATGACGTGTCTGCTGATGCTGCCTGAAGTGATCCATGATGTCTCGTAGCAGTTAATATAGATTTCTGTTGTAGAGATGAAATATGTCGTCCGAGACGCTCTTGTGAGTCTCAAAAGAATTTGTTTTTCTTTGCAGGTGAGATTCGACGCCACGGTATCACGAGTGTCACCAGTAAAACCGAAAATGGAAATCGCTACTTATGTGTGCACGTTGTGCCAGTGCCGGACTTTCCAGGAGATCGAGTCTGACGAATTCATGCCAGTGTTGAACTGTCCTAGTACCTATTGCAAGGACAACAAGGAATCGGGTTTGGGCGAAGGTCCGTCATTACCACAGTCCAAGTTCGTGAAATACCAAGAACTGAAGGTCCAGGAGCTGACAAGCGAAGTACCGGTTGGCAGCATTCCAAGGTGCCTCAACATCCTTGTCGAGGGCGATTTAACAAGGATAGGCGCTCCCGGAGAAAGCGTCACAGTTACAGGATGCTACATCCCACACGTGCAGAACGTGGCTGGGAAGCAGGTCACCACGATGTTCGTGCATGCGCACGATATCGTGCAGCACAAAAAAGGGTACTTCTCTAACACCATATCATGACTTGTGTACACTGAAGCGACGTAGTACTTCAGTTAATTTCATCTTCATTATTCCTAAAGAATGTATGATACCGCAGGTAACAACAACAACAGTAAGTGTCAAAAAATAGAAATACTAGAAGAATGTCAAGAAATTTTATTCTATGTTACGTTGAATGGACTTGAGGCCTGCAACAATGCGACAGGTACAACGAAGACGAAAATTCGTACGAGTATAAGACATTGTTGAATCACGTAAAGCAAGCTGGCAAGGATCCACACATCTATGAGAAACTTGCCCAGTCTATTGGTCCCCAAATTTTCGGAATGGAGGATGTGAAGAAAGCCTTGTTGTTGCTGCTTGTAGGAGGCGTAACGAAAAAGCTTGCCGACGGAATGAAAGTGAGAGGTGATTTGCACGTATTGCTCATGGGTGACCCGGGAGTAGCGAAGTCGCAGTTGCTGAAGCAGGTGATAAGGATTACAGAATAGAATTATTGAGAACTCTGGATACCGTCTTAGTGACTTCCTGTCGTTGAAGAGTTTTTATGTATCGAGCTCTACAAATGACACAACATATAAAATGATGCTTTTTCTTAAAGAGTAGCAGGAATAAGGTTCAAGATACTGTTTCTTCGCTTGTACTGCCAGTTCTATAATTGTACTTCAGGCTTCGCAAATAGCCCCGCGTGCGGTGTACACGTCAGGTAAGGGTACTTCGGGAGTAGGTCTGACTGCTGCGGTGACTCGCGACCAGCAGACGAGCGAAGTGCATCTAGAAGGTGGCGCTCTTGTATTGGCAGACAGAGGGATTTGCTGCATAGATGAATTCGATAAGATGGAGGAAGCAGACAGAACAGCGATCCACGAAGTGATGGAACAACAGACCGTATCAATCGCAAAAGCAGGTATGATTATACCACGCCGAGGCTTCCTATCCCATCCTATCCTATCCTATGATCCTATCCTACGTAGTTTGTCTTCTAGCTCGATCTTTATCTTCTATGTGTTGATGCCACTGATTTTGAATTTTGGACTGTACCTACAATCGTTCTTCATCTCTAGAGGATATGAAGATCATCTGCTGATTTATAACAAGGTATCACGACGACGCTCAACGCGCGAACAAGTGTGCTTGCCGCCGCGAATCCTCAGTATGGTCGGTACGACATCAGCCGATCTCCAGTCGAGAATATGAACCTACCCGCTGCACTGCTGAGTCGATTTGATTTGAAGTTTTTGCTGCTTGACAATGTGGAGAAAGAGAATGATATCAAGCTTTCAAAATTCGTGCTGGAGACGCATAGATATGGAGGATGCGATCCCAAAGACAAGAAGCACAAAGGCGGCGGCGGTGGCGACGATGGAGGTGGCGTTGGCCTCAACGACGACGGCAAGTTATGAATAACAATTCTCCTTTGGTTTTATCACCCCAAGAATACACAGGGAAAATTCATATGCTGAAGATGTCATGCAATTCCATATGTCCAAGTTGTGGAGTAGAATACTTAAAGTAATAATTCTTGATTCTAGTAGTTGTCTAATCCTGTACGACGCGAAGTTTTTACGAGCCTATTTGAAATATGCGAAGTCATTCGAGCCCTTGGTGCCACGCAGCTTGGAAGAGAAGATCGTGCTACGATATGTGGACATGCGAAAAGCAGAACGTGAGGAACGTGCGGACACGAGGAAAGACTACATCACGCCACGACAGTTGCTAGGAATGATCCGTCTCTCGCAAGCCCTCGCAAGGCTTAAGTACTATTATCAACACTGATCGTAGAAAGATGGTTCTGGAATAACTTATCCTCTCACGCGTGAATGACAATGACGACGAGAACGTAGTTTGTTGTGACGAGCCTCATCATTTTTAGCAATCTAATCTACTTTTGAGATCAACGTATTTTTGTAGTACATCATACCTAAAAATTGGATTTGCTCTGTATGAACCTTAGGTTCTCGAACGTGGTAGACGAGCGAGATTGGGAGGAGGCGATCCGACTCACGGATGCCTCGAAGGCGAGTGTCGTAGTCGATCCTGATGCCGCAGACGCAGCCGCGGAGCGAGAAGCTTTTGCGCGCGATATGCAGATCGGAGAAAACCTTATGCAACAACATGACTTGCATATTACCTGATGAAAAAGCAGATCAATAGCATTGACGAGTTATTTCTTAGTGTTTACACACATTCATCTTCTTTCTTAGTTCTTCCCTGTACTTGCACGGGCTGTAGTTGTAAAGAACTCAGGACCAAAAACTCATTCTAATGCAAAAGAGGCGGATCCCGACGAGATTGATGAAAACGCGATGCGGGATCAAATGGACGGCATTGTTGGTGCTGCTATTGATGAAATGGGAGAACAGCAGCAGATGGGACAGGACGGAGAGGAGGGAGACTACATGGGTAACATCTGGGATATCCTGCGACAGGAATTCCTCAAAGCTGGCCAGAACGTGCCGATCTTCGTTACAGAACTGAAAAAGGCAGTCACTTCGCGAGGCTACAATCAGCAACAGTTCGACACTACACTAGGATTTTACGAAGACATGGGGGTGGTCGAGTACACGGATGCAACGCGAAACGCTGTCAAGGCAGGAGGAGAATTGGAATGATGAAGTCAGCCACAAGAAGTTCGCGTTTAAATCATCATTAGGAAATAAGCATCACACTCAGGAGCTTCAGACGGAAACGCGTCTTGGTTCTACTATTGAACGATAAACAAAAAGATAAAGAGTCCTTTTTCAACTATGAAATCACCCTAGTTCATGCGTCTGATGTTGTCATCAGTACAGTTACCGATGGCGTTGTTCCTGAATTTGACGTTGTTCTCTCCTTTCTGAATTTGAGATCAGTACAGTGGATTTAGCACTATGATTAGCAGTCAGTTTTTGATTCTCTAAAACCTAAAAGCACGGGCGTTTCGAACACACACTAAACGACTCAGCACGAATTACAGTACAGAACGAAAGAACTGGGTCGAATCTGAATCCTAAAGAACTTCTTCTTTCAGTTTGGTTCTAGAAGTTCATCGCGGTTTTTTTGGGATCACCACGCGATGATGAAAACAATCTTTTCAGAAAACCAATTTCCAATCCGATCATACAAATTCTTGCGCCCTCCTACACACGAGTCGATTCTCGCATGTATTTTTTTTAACTTGATCCGCCCAAGTTGTTGTGGACGTTGATTTGCTAGGTCGATGAAATGCACCAGTTCAAAAAGGAAAGAAGACGAAAGCCCAGGGCAGTCGTCGGCAGTCATTTTTCTGTATCGCACCAACTTTGCCTGAACCGCTTAGCTGAAAAAGGGCTGTTCATTATGTCACAATGGCAGGTGGAAAAGCATCTGGATCTGCCCACGACAGCTGGCCTTGCTTTTTACGTGGCACTGCGGGTGTGCGAGTCCTTTGAAAGGATTAATTGCTGTTTCGAGATGGTGCGAAGCAGGAATCAAAAATGAGTCAAGTCCAGGAAAAACCCAAAATCCAGTAGTTGTTGATGTGCGTGGGTGCTGTGAGGTCATTATTAGAGTCAAAATCGTCCGCTCCGAGGTCTTTATCTTATAAATCAGAGTCAAAATTCAAATCGTTAAGGGTTGTGCCTTGGTGAGGTGGAAAGGTGAGATGAAAGGACACGAAAATAAACCCAAATGAGAACACACAATTTTCTTCAGTACCCTGTGCTGGAATGGTGTGGAAACGCTTCTGAACCTCGGTTCCTTCTCTGTCCGAAGTAAGTGCGTATGTGTGTGCTCCTACGTATAGGGTTCCTACGTACGTGTCGTTCTCCTAATAAGTTGATGGCAAATTTACTAGTGCCCAAGATGATATCCTTCAAAGCGAAACAGATGAATAAAATAAACGCTCCAACATGATCTAGAGTAAGACAATCTCGTAACACTCGTCGTGTGCCTACATTGTATAAATATATTTCGTTCAAAAAGCCTCTACCGCTTCTCCTTTCTCTAGACAGGTAATGTGCGTTTCCGGTTCGTCTTGCAATTCTTCTAGATTCTAATACTGGATGGAGCGACAAAATGCTAATGAGATAAAAATGTATTTACTTGCGGACTAGCAAGTACTACTAGTGTGTTACTGTTTAACCGTCACTTAATTATGAATGCCAGAATCTCAATTTCTTTTTGATAGTACTACTAAACTAGGATAAGAATTATCCTGCACAATGAAGTGCTTTATGTGGCTGAGCTCTCTTCCTGCTCTAGACAGGGCGCTCAGCCACCTCCGTAAAGTAGAACAGCGTGAAGTAAAGTTAGGCAAGGCTGTACTTAGAGAACCCAAAAACACTCTACCGTACGTGCGCAGTCTTGCCATTGTGTGACCGAGCATCACTCGTCACCTTTTAGTCCAACGTTGTTGGTCCAAGAAGAGCCATCATGAAAGAGTAAAAGTACGAGTTGCACTTCGCAGCACTCGTCTGATGACGAGAAATCTTTCCAAAAGTTGCGCTCCCCCATTCCGTAGTTTGCTCTTATAGTTATAGTGCGTGGCATGACGAGCTAGTTTCTCTTAATTTGGTTTCGCCAAAGACAGAAAAGTTAAATCTTCTATAATAAAGTTCTAACGCTCCTCTTGAGTTCATGTTGGAAGTATTGCATTATTGTGTGGTGAAACCCTTGCAAAAAATGTGCATCGAGTAGAGCAGCGCCTGGAAAAAGTCTTCGGAAATCGACACTCTACTATCGACTGCGCAGAAATAGTAGTACTAGTAAACCTAAACCAGCAACGACAACAAGAGGGAGAATAAAAGAACGACAAGAAGGAATAACGAAGAAGGACAGGAAACAACAGTGACAGCGCAACTGCACGACCCGTGCTTCCAGGGACGGCGCCTCTCACTCTCGCTGTACATATTAGAACAGTCGCTTCGTACTACGCACGAACCGAGTTCGGAAACATCGTCTAACATCCTTCTCTGAGGTGCATCTTCAGGAAAATTTTGCAGGGGTGGTTGCTCCATGTTGCTGGATGTCAAAGACACAAAGTACTTCCGAGCTACGCAAATAATAGCACTATCTAATCTAGTAGTAGACACTATCGCTTCTGCTTCGGTGTAGTGCTTGAAATTTCAAAATCCTTTGAGTAGGAGATAGCGTCATGGAAGCTGCAACGGAGACTCTAGGTCATCCGCCGGCCACGGAGCCTGGCCGGGAGGAGTGTGAGTTTGCGCCGGAGCAGGCAGATGGCGGCGCCTCCGTAGAGCAGAGCGAAAAACACGAAGAGTTCCACGAGGGAGGCGGTGGATACCATCCCGTGTATGGGGGACGATGTCTGCCGTACAGCGGTGACACAGCGTATCAACATGTCGGAATGCCGCAATCTGCGACTGGAGGTTCGACAGGCGGGGGTCAACAGAAGCAGTACAGTAGTAGTCACCCCTCATCGTCTTTGTCTGGTGGGGCACTATCCTCTCAACAGTATAGTAACCACAGTAGCGGCGTTGTGAGCGGAGCGGGTTCAGCACATGCGAGTGGCGCAGGGCATGCTCATATGTATGGCGGCGGCAAACAACAGACATTTGATGCGAGGCAGCACTACAACCAGCATCCTAAGCTTGGAGGTATAGGTAGCCATGTGGGGGCGGGCGGCGCCTACGGCGGGCCCGGAAGTGGCCTGTTCCACGCGAGCGGAGCTGGCATGATGCCAACCGTCTCTAATCCGCATTCCATGCTTCAGCACATGATGCAACAGCATCACCTACAGCAGCAGCTGTCCTCACTAGCTGCCGGATACTACCACTCCGCAAGTTTGCACCACGGAGCAGGCATGCATCTCTTCCCGGGTTTGCATTCCACAGGAGGCTACAATCCGCTTTTGGGCGGCACTGTCCCGCAGCACATACCGCACCATAGCATGCAGCCGGGTACTATTTCGGCGGCACCCGCAGCTGCACACACTTTGACAACTACAGGTGCGAGTGCTGCAGGCAAAGGCAGCAGTACTGCAGGGAATGTTCTTGGTACAACAGTCTCGTCGGGAGGAAGCAACAGTGGACACGCCGGTTATGCAACTGATCAGCCTGAGGCGGCATCCGGGCAGCAAGGGGTAGTGCCGGAGACGGCCGGGAAAGCAGAACACTCTCCGTCGTTGTACAATGACGTTGTTATGCAGCATGGCCGAGACTTTTCTGGACGAACGCATGCGGGTAGCGCAGAAGATCCGGGAATGCAGGAGTACGACGTAGCTGTGGGCACGGAGAGCTGCGATGAGGCCGCTGCAACAAGAGAATCTGATGAAGCCGAAAATGGTGGAGATGCAAGAGACAGAGACGCGACGCACTTCGCATCCACGGCGTCGAGAGCAGAGACAGCATCAGGTGATGGCGCGGCGAATCACGAGACGGCAAGTAGTGGCTCAGCTGCAGATAGCACCTCTGCTGGTGTCCCAACTGCGTCAAGTCACTTGTCTGCTTCTAGTCCGGGTTTCTATCCCGGCGCTTTCCAGCACATGGCCGCGCAGCAGCACTACGCTGCCGCCGCAGCGCATGCAGCGTGGACACAGCAGAGCATGGCGCACCAACGACTCGTACAGGGTCGTGGGCAGTGGCGAAATGCGATGGGAACTGGCGCCAGCAGTACACACCATGCGACCCCGTACAACCCACATCAACCGCTCGGGGGTGGCGTGCACCATAGCAGTATAAGCCCAGGTATGCACGGCGGACTCAATTTGTTGCAACACGGCGTGAACGCTGCGATGAACCCGATGATGATGATGCTCCACAATTCGCAGCAGCTTGCGGGCCCAGGTGGCGCGACTGGTCCTGCAGCGGCGCACATACAGAGCGGTGCGGGCAGTTCGCAGGCGGCCATGAGTGGGTCAGGAGCACCGGCGCCGGGGATGTCTGGAGCAGCAGGTAGCGCGCACGTCATGTCCGGAGGAGGAGGCGCCACCGGCCACCACGCAGGCGTGCACATGCACTACGGCGCTGGCCGTGGCGCGGGTTCGAATAGTCATCTACACAACAACTACCGGCAGCAATACTATGGAGGCATGGGAGGCGGTAGTTCTGGTAACGTGCTCTCGCCAGGCGAACTTCTCGCAACTGGCGGCAATCCGCCAGCACTGAACATGCACCAGGGCGGTGGAATGGGTGGTAGTGCGAACCGTGGTCGTGGTGGCCACTACCAAAACGCGAGAAACCGCAGCTGGGTCGACAGTATGCTGGGTATGGGCGCCGCCGGTCGCATGCAACACGTGCGGACGACTGAGCATCCCGGAGTTTTCATGCGTGTACTGAACGAACATCTGGCTGAGCAGGCGTCCAAAGCGAGCATTTCTGCTGAACGTAAGCGATTGATGGACGAAATTTTTGCGACCGAGGTAAAAGCCGAAGTTGAGCGAATTCTCGTACTTGACAAGTTACTGTCATCATCACGCAGTGCAGAGAACGAGACGCAAAAGGGTGATGACGTTCACCAGACGTCACGAGATGATGCTGCTGCCTCAGATGCTGCTGCTGCAGGTGCTGTAGTCGCACCGACTTCCACGACAAGCAGACGTGATGATACGACTGAGCCAAGTGCTGAAGTTCTATCGTCTGTCGCGTCCGTACCACAGGGGACTTGCGAGGTGGCAGAAGCGGTGGCCGTGAAGACGCTGGAAGCCTGTGATCAGGTTGACGGAAGAGACAAGGATCGCGAGTGCGGTAATCGTAACTTATCGGAGACGGCAACAATAAGGTACGAACTTCATCGACCACAACTTCTCCTAAGCAAGTGATGCATGATTTCGGGTCTCATTTGGTGTGTTGCTTTCTTTAGGTTTGTCTCTGTTCAGTCACTCCTTGTCCAAGCCTATCCTAACTGTTGAAAATTTTCATTCGTACGTCATCGTATTTACGAACAGGCCAAACAACAACTCTACTTCAGATTATTCGGTAGTTGCATAAACGGTTCCGCGACCAATGAGAGTGATTACGACTGCGGGATTCGACTTGGGGATAAGCTAAGTTCGTATTTCCAAGACCAAGCAGACCATGGGACTGAGATTTTCGCGCATCGTGCGAAAAGCCACAACTATCCACTGATTCTCGCTTTGCGCATGCTCGTTGCGGCTTTTGAAATGCGCGGCTTCTCGTGTCAGCTTATCGAAGAGGCGCGCGTGCCGGTGCTTCGCGTGCAAAAGGACATTGCGAATCCAGCGTTTACCCGCTTGGAAATGCGCCAGGGTGGAAGCGCCGAAGCTGCCGCGTCTTCACCGGTGCTGGGAGAAGCTGCGAATTATAGTAACGTTCAGGACCACGACCAGGAGGCTCCGATTGCTACAGCGCTATCCTCGACGCCTTCAGCAAACGATGTTTCAACTAATGCTGTCGCAGCACCTCTTCAGAGCAGTGCTGTTGCTATTTCGCCTGTCGCACCCCTCGTCGCTGTACCAGAAGCAACGAGCAGAGCGTCGATACCTCCTCACCACGTCACCAGCCGTGCTGACTGTCCTCCATGTAGGACATCTACTACGTCTGCAGCAGGTGAAGATCATCCTGCTGGCACAACAACTGTCAACGCCGTTATTAATGCTGAAGGCGGAACGGTCGCTGCGGACGCGTGCGTGGCAGAACCGCCAGAGAGACCAACCGAGACGACAACTGTATTAGAAGGTGAAGACTCGAAGAGCTCCGGAGAGGATACAAAGAGCTCAGAAAAGTCGAAGTCAACGGCCGCAACGACGGACGACGGCATTAAATCACTCAGTCTCCCGCCAAGCAAACCACCGCTGCAGCCTCCAAGTAAAATGCCTCCGCCAATGAGTACTATGATTTTGATTTGATCAGTGTTGAGAATATATATTGTAGCGTGGGGTTTTTTCCATATAAGGTAATCATGTCAATAAACATTTCCATCCCATCCACAACCTCGCAGCTGCTCCGCCACCGGCCCTGATTCCTCCGTCGTTTTCACCTCCGGCCGTGCTGCCACGAGAAGCAACTACACTGCTGGTTTCGCATCGCGTCGCACCCCCAGAGACAAGTCCTCCGCCACCGCCCAAGGACGTTATCTCGTTGCACTCAAAGCAGTTTTTAGCGCGACCAAGGCTGCATCCGAGACCACAGAGTCCACCACCGCCAAATCCCCCTCCACCAGGACCACATGAGTCATCTTCTGCTGGAGTTGATGTGGGTACAAGAAGTTCTTCGTCTACTACTTGCGGTAACAGCAGCACGGAGGACGCAGTACATGTGTCAACTTCTTCTAAGACGGAGTCTCTTGCTGTGCCCCCGTCCTCACAGAGTAGGCCGCCGAACAACTACGCAGCTACTTTCGATGAAGAGAGTGAGGAGGAGGAGTTTCAACTTGTGCTTGGATCACGACGAGGCGCAGGTGGGAGAGCTAAGCCTCGGGGCCGCAGCATCGAGGTGGACGCTGCATCGCCGATCGCAGAAGATCGCAGAAGGTCACCGATCGCAGGGAGTGGCTCATCCCCTAAGGAAGACACGCCCAACAAGGCGAATCGAAAGAAAGATTCCAGAGCGGTAGACATGAGCAAGAGTTCCTCCGTAGGTGAGAATCATGGAGGGAAGCTGCGATCTCATTCTCCACAGGAGGCATTAGCTTCGTCGGCGCCGGGGCATATACCGAGCAGTGCATCAAAGAATGCAATGCGATCATCAGTAGAAAGGGAGAGTGGTCAGCGTGGCAGTGCTCCTAAGCCTCAGCAGCTATTGCGGTCGAGCTCTGAAGCATCCTCGGCGCGAACGATTTTCTCGCAGAACAAGTTTCAAAACCTTGACGACAGCGCCGTTTTCGGTCGGTCGTCCTCTGAAGAATCGAACTCACCACGCACTGCCGTTGATATCGTGATGAGCATCACTGAGGAGGAAGTGCGTCACGACGAAGGAGCTGACACAGCACGAACGGCAAAGGATGACCATCGCGCTAGTTGTAGTAGCACTAAAATGCTTGAAAAGCAAGCGGATCATGCGACCTCTGCGCCATCGTCGTTGCCGACAACAGCCCTTCCCACTACCGCTTCGCTGGCGTCTACGGCCGCACCATCGTCCTGCGGCACAACTGCGAGCTTGCCCTCAGCCAGTCCTGAGCAACTAGGCCCTCTGGTGCTGAACGAAGTGGGATCGGCAGTTCAAAAGAGGCGGGCGTCAAAGCTTCACGGTGGCACTTCAGAAAGCAGTGGCGCGCCACAGCTTCTACCTACTGCAACAGGCGCGGATTTGGCAGGTCGGGCGAAATTGAGCGCAGAGTCAATGCCTGGCGTTCCGATGCCGAGTCTACCACCAAATCTACCTCACCTTCCAACGATGCTGCAGCCAGTGTCGCTCGCAGTGCCAATGGCTCCGTTAACATCCGCACCTCCCCCAACGAAACCCCCACCAGCAATCGCACCACCTTCACTGCCTACATGCCTACCGCCACTTCCTGCTACCCTGGCGCCGATGTCTTTTCCGCCAGGAAGCAAGGATAAAGGATCATCCACTTCTCACGAGGAATTATCCACGCCAAAAGGTGAAGACAATTCGAAAGGCAGTAGTTTGGTAGACGAGAATGGTGCCTCAGCGTCGTCATCTTCAACAGGAACCAAAAAGGCAGAGCAACAGGTATCTTCAGGTGGTGGGACACTGAAGGACAAGGATGAGAACATCCTGACTGGGAGTGTGGCCAATCCTTCACCATCTTCAGCTACAGCTTGTAGTGATGTTAAAGAGAAGAACAACGACAACCTCACCGGTTCTCCACTGGCAACAGCCGCCAAGACCACGAGTCCGGAGATGAAGGATAGTCCCGTAGTGAGTAATCATTCTTCTACCCACTCTGGCCACCACAGCACTGCGCCCACCGTCCTCGCAAAGTTTGACATCAGTGTCGCCTTGGAGGATTTCGTTTTTGAGAATTCTCGCTTGCTTCAGTTGTACACGAATATCCAACGGCCGTTGTTTGGACAGCTGACGATTCTGGTAAAGCGATATTTCAAACATGCTACGCTGTGCGACGCTCACGCGGGTTTTCTCAGTTCCTACTCCCACCAGCTTCTGTTGATTCACTTCCTGCAAAGAAAGCGCTACCTTCCGTACTTGCAAGACCCTGATCTCTATGCACGATGGGAGACGGATCGTGCAGGAGATGTCAGGAGCTGCTCCTCGAACACCATTAATAAAAATGACCACTCCTCGCAAGTGCAAACAGCAGCGGGTTCGGCTGGTACATCTGCCGCAGCACCTTGTTCCGCCTCCTCTGTCCCACCAACACCGTCTGGAGGGTCGATGTCTATCGTTTCCGCGGCAGGTTGTGCGAACACATTAGGGAACGGTATGAATAGTAGTTGTAGCAGTTCCTCAACGATGTTGTCAACAACAGCGGGGTTATCAGTATCTCCGAATGCCACATCGTCGCGTAGGTCTGTTGTCCTAGCGGAGCAGAATCCCCGAAGTCTCATGGAGCGCATGCGCCTTGACTGGGTGCGCGAGTCTAGATTCGTGGATTGGGCGGAGTGGCTGCCAAACCAAACAACCCCTGTGAAATACTTTCATCTTACCTCGCCGCGCGGGGAGAACCTCATCTATGATCTATTCTACGAGTTTCTTCGCTATCTGGCCAAATTCAACCCGCACAAGCACATGGTCTCGATCCGACGGAAGCACATGAACGCAGACTGCACTTGGGAGAAGCACATTGAGGTCCTTGTTGATCCTGATAGCAGTTGTTGTACCAGTGCTGGTCTTGATCATCAACATGCGGGAGAAGCAGGAGCAAATAGAAGCTCGTCCTCTACAGGGTCGGTTGAGATGCCAGCGGCTGCAGGAGAATCGCGAAAGGAGAGTGTAGAAAGTAGTATTCACCAAAACGATGGTACAACTCTCAACGACAGCAGCGCAGAGCCGCAGGATGAGGGGATTTGCGACCCGCTCCCCAAAAATGGGGAGGCTGGCCACGCGACCAGCTGCTCACATTTAATTGGTGACACAAGTGATTCTGCCGTTTTTCCTCCTTCCTCTATGCAAGGATTTCAACTCCCGGCATATGAACTAGAAGTGGGTTCATCCTCTGTTGAACAACCAGCAAAGATGAAACTGGGAAGTTGTACCGCAACAACCGCTTCTCCTGATTCCCTTGAGGTAGGCTCGCCTGAACATGACCATAGTAATCTGTGCTCACCCAAAGAGCAGGTAGAGGTGGAGACAGGAGTCAACGCTTGTTCTGCAGCAACATCTTGTTCTTCGAACACCACAGGAGGCGAAGAAGGTGGCTCAAATACAACCACAGTAGGCGAAGAAAGTGGCTCCAGCACAGCTACTTGTTCTTCACAACGGCCAGGAGGAAAATCCGTAGGTCCAACTACAGATGGCACGACCACAACAACCAACACTGCTATCGCTTCTTCCTCTAGCATTTCAACAAATAAACAAGCTATATCTGCTCAGCCTCAGCCCCCTAAAAAGCGTAGTAGAGCAACGGTAACCCAATGGCTCGTTAGTGAGGAGAAGAGCAACTTCCTGTTTCGTATTGAGGACCCAATCGAACCCGGACGAGTCCTAGGAATGCGTGAGGAGAAGCATCAAGCGTGGGTTGCGCGAATTCATTTTGACCTTGAAGAGTGGGAGAAGAAGCCAGAATACATTTGCAGTACTTTAAATTTGTTTTCGGTGCACCTGAAGAACTGAAATTCTATTTTGAGATATTTGAATTTGGAACGAAGAGGATATCTGGTAAGCATAACAGCATGGTCGTGTCGGCAGTCGGTTGAAGAGGTAAATACAAGACGCCTTAGACAAAGTTTGATTTGGTTATCATGATCGTGGTTCATTATAATATCTTCAGTATGTTGTTGACTTCTTTGTAATCAGAGATATGTACGTTGAATGTGTCATATACCGTCATCGCATTCCCGTGATCAATAAATCAAAGGTATGCTGAATGTGTCAACACCATCGCATTCCCGAGTGAAGCGCGCAGTAGAGCAGGCGCGAAGGCGACAGCAGGAGCAGCATTTGCGCGAGAAAGCGGAGGAGCGAAAGCGTCGCGCCAAAGAAATTGAACAAGATAACCGAGCCCGTCGAGAAGCTGACCTAGCACTCGAAAACATGTTGAAGAATCCTGAAGAGTGGCCTGAAGTTGCATCAAGCTCACTGGTGCAGACGAATGCGAATCCTTCCGCTAGTTCTTCGTCGTCCGCGAACAACAGTACTACAGCAGCAGCAGGAGCAAAAGCAGCCGTCTGTGGAGCAGGGGGTGTAGCAAATAGTACTAACAGTTCCGCAAATAACAACAACTGGAACACACCCTCACCGGGAGCAGGCCAGCAACACCAGAGAACAAATGCAGTATCGCAGGGAAGCTGGTCCGGTCCAGAGAATAGTTCTGAACCTGCGACAGCAGGATTGGAAGGACCATCTACCTTCGCTTCGAATAGCGCTTCCAGAAGCGGTATGTCATTTACTGACCCTTCTACTTCTTGCGGCTTCGCAGCAGGTTCACCAGGCAGCCGACCAGCGGGAGACTCATCTGCTGAGGGGATGGGGTCCACCCCATCAATGTCGAATGCTACAACTAGCCTAAGCCTTTACTTCAATCCAGCTGATGGAACTTTACGCGCACGTAGTACACTGAGAGCACCGGCACATTACCAAGGTGAGGATCATGGCATGAGCAGTGCAGTCGAACGAAGAGGGACTGCACACCAGCAAACAGAGTATGGCGAAGCACCATCTTCAGGAGATAATAGGAGGAGTTCGTCGTCGTCGTTGTCGTCTCGGTTTGACGCGCAACAACACGAACAGTTTACACAAACAAGGGCTTGCTCCTCGGACGCGGAGAGACTCAAGAACAGTGTGAAGAAGGACAATAGCAGCAGAGGTCCTCCGATTGCGGATGTAGTTGAGGAGCCGTTTTGCTTCTGGGGCGTTCCTAGCGGAGGCGGGGTCTCCTCTCTTGCTCGCTCGCTCGAGACGCAACGCACTCAGCATGGGGGCAGCAGTCGGTTTAACAATGGTGGCAGTCGGTTTGAACAAGCTCAACATGGTCAAGCTCAAGGAGGAGAGGATGGTGGAGTAGCTGGAGTACCGAAGCGCACGCGCAGTCGTTTCGACACTGCTATGGGAAATCCTGCTGTCCCAGACAGTACTGCACCAGACAGCAGCACTGCTGTAAGTGCCACTGCCGCACATTCCTCAATGTCGATGGTAGTACCCAAGCGCGCGCGTGCTGGAACAGCCGTAAGCGTGGCGAGCGACAATAAGTCGGGCGCAAACGGGAAGAAGCAGAAAAGGAAGAAAGGGAAAGACGTCACTACCGAAATGCTACGCGCGTGGACAGGAGCAAAATGAGCTAGTCTGTTGTTCCAGCTGAGAGGAGTAGCTAACGTAAAGGAGAGGTGAGGTTGGAGGTCCTAGTAGAGCGTCAGGGCTGCGAGAAGATGCATTTCATTCGGAGAAGAATACTAGGCTTCCTGCCTTTGCGTTCACAGAGTGGCGCTTTTCACCGCACTGGAAAAACATGGAGGAGAGGAGAAGTGAAGTGCCATTTCTGGACGTGTGTCACAGTTGTTGTAAAATATTGTGTAAAGGAACTTGGCATAGTAGATGGGCATCGTGTTTCTACATGCGCCCGCTTGTACCCAGTTGCCAAACCGCCAGTAATGATGTCCACGACATATTGTTGAGGATACAACTACAAACGCGCTTAGTTGTAACATTTGCATGGACCTCATCGTACAGCATGCGTCCTTCCTCCTACACCACGCAACTGCATGTTTCAAACATTCAGTGAAGCGGAGACATCTTACTACAAAATTTCTGAAGCGGAGGAGATATTTGTGTCAGTGTATACTATAATTGAATTCTATATTAAAACAGAGGGGCGCACATATTGGGCTGCATGGCTAGGGCATGGTGAAGCATTACATGATGGCTTTTGGGGGTAAACATAACACTTAATAATGTACCAGTGACCAGCGACGAGCAGGCTTGCTTACTATTAAGTCTCGTTGTAGTTGATTACTGTCTCGTCTTCGCTTTACTATGATCCTTTGTGGCGGAAACTATCTCTCTTATACTGCTGTATCAAATGCAATGGATGACGCGTTCGCCACTAACGAGTGCAAAATCATCTCCCACCTTCATAGGAACGATTCACACACATTTCGTATCGGTGAGGAATGCTTGTGGTCTGTGAAGAAGCGAAATGTAGGATCGTGCTGTCAAGGTTCCACCGATGAGAGCTTGCGTCAACAATTGCAAGTGCAGCTGATATTTGTAGATAATCTGAGAAGTATCTATTCAGTGAGAAAGTGACTCCCGTCTGGTAGATGAGATTCTAAATCGTTTTGTCTGTCCACGAGTATGCACTTTCCGCAGGGTTATCGAGATTCACGAGAGCAGAGAAAAACACCACATGAAGACAGATGGTTTTTCGCCAGAGGGTCCTTCCTGCCTCTTAGAATAAATTCATACAGAAAAAGTATTGTTCAACGCTTTTTATAACACATATCTTTTCAACAGGCCAAGCCCGAGTCGTGTACGTATTTTCCCATATTCTCGGAATTACAATATTGTTGAACAGATATAAGTGTTAGGTCATCGTGGTTCATTCTATTCATTGTTGTAGTTACCTCATCTTAACGAGTGTCTGGCTGTGGGTATCGATTGTGGTGCTGATTTTAGAGTGTGTTGCTTGTGATTGATGACATGATTGAAAACACTTTTTTTGTTATAATACCCTCTAAGAGGGAACTGAAGACTTGGCGCGAGAAAATTTCCTACAAATAACGACAAGAACCATTTCGAATGACACAACTTCCATCAAGAACGTACATATGATTCAATGACGATGGTTGACTCGCCGTCATCGAGTGGAGCTGCAGGCGCAGAAACGCGCAGCAGCAATGGTGAGTTGCCGAGTGTCGCCGTGTTTGTGGATACTGCTAATGTGAGCCATGCGGTTCCAGTCCTCAGAATGGTCAAGGCTATCGAAGCAAAATGGGGGGCCCGACCGTGCAGATTGACCATCCATATGGTTTTTGCCGAGTTTCGCAGGAAAGAATTTGGTGATGATATGAAGTGGAGTGCCGAAAAGTACCCACCCTCGCAACGTGCACAACCGAAAAAAACCGAAGGCTCGGCCTTTTCCAGTGGCAGTTCATCGTCCTCCCCACGGCCCCCAGATGACAGCTCCTCATCGGAGACGAGTACTCGTACCTCTGTTCCACCAGTACTGAATTGGATCGGTGTGCCATCGTCCAGGGAAGGCAACATTGAGGCTCCATTATCGAAGAATTTCCTCAGCCTTGGACCTTTTTTTGTTGGTTCATAGAAGAGGAAACATTTTCCGCAAGAGCATGTGGCCATCGTGCAAAGCAGTAGGTAGTGGTTTCGAGTGCTACTTTATCGTAGTCTAGACCATGATAGCAACTTAGCAAGAGAATTTGTGATGAAATGTCGCCATAGAAATAGCACGAAAAATTAACATTTTTGTAGCATTGCAAATTATCGTGCTCTTTCTAATATGCAACACGTGGGTGAGCGCGTTGATGACACCGTCTTCAAGCGTGCCGTGAAGGACATCATGCTGAACGACAGTGGCGATCATGAAGTAGCTCTTGTGTCGAATGACCTTTTCAGAGACATGTTTTCGCGTGGTGCGAATTTCAGTTCCCAGTCACGAGCAGAAGCACTTTTCGAGGAGGCGGCGTCAGAATGTCGAAGCAAACGGCTAGCTCGTACCTGGATCGCGAGCAACGCAGATCTCGAAGTTTTGATGACGGCTTTGCAGTACAATTTCGGCAAAGACACACTGGGTAATGTCGAGTTATACCCTGCGAGTGGCGGAAACGTAAATTCGCTGAAAGGTTTTCTGGGGAACAACCTGTTGCGCAATTACATTGGCCGACGATTGAGTCTGACTTCTTGGAGCAATGGTTCTAGCCTCAGTCAGTTAACCGCTAATGGTAAGAACACTAACGAGAACCGGGAAAACCAGTCGCTAAGGCTGGAAAATAGAGGAATTCGAGAGGCTAATCGCGAACTGCAAGAGCAGATACGAAAATTACAGGACCGACTTGACGAAGTGGAAGCGAGAGAGAATGACATGATAATGGAGATGACAATTCTAGCAAACAAGTGGCAAGCAAAGGCAAAAGAGAAAAGCAATGGAGGAGACCCTAGTATGCGTAGAGACAACCAGCAGCAGTCTCGTCCGCTAGTGATTGGTCGATCAACGTCATCGTCTTCAAGTAGCATAGGAGGTCCTCGTAGCCCACAAAATAAAGATACCAATGCTGGTTTAGAAATACAAGAGTCACCATTCGTGGATACACAACCAAGCAGCTCGGCGTTTGATTTAACCTGTGTGCCGGTTGTACCAGATATAAAAAAGAAGGACCACGCGAATGCATATTATCAGCAGGGATTTTCTCCACCCAGCAGCAATAATTTTTCACCCGACGGCGACTCAACTGGACGTCCTCGTAAGGAGGATCGTGATTGGAAGATCATGCCTGTCGCAACACTTCTACAGGATGATGATTTGGACGACGATGATCAACATGGAAGAAGAGCACAGATGAAGAACTCACCTGGGGGCACGTCATTTTCACGGTCGCGCCCATGCCGATCGCCGTCGTCTGGTTCTGACATTAGCTCGCTTGCTCGCGACGTAGCAAACTCTACTGCCCTCAACATCGATGGGCTCTCACTTGATGAGGAGGAGGATGGCTATACATATGACAAAGGCACAAGAAAGGATAGCAGGCAACACCCACAGGAGAAGACAACATCGTCTAAGATGGTGCCACCAATGAAAGTTCTGAGCAAAAATCCCAAGCAGACAAAAACGCAGCTGAAAAATGGACAACACTTCAAGTGGAAAGCGAAGCTTCAGTCTGCCTCGTCTTCATCAAATTCTTCGTCTGCGAACAACACTCTGCGTGGATCTGCTGACGCAGTAAGCAAAAGTGCTAAGACGTGGAAGAAAATGAGAGAGCCCAGCAAACTCACTGGCCCAAAAGGGGAGCCACCTACAGATGAGACGTGTTGGGATTACAAATACAAAGGAAAATGTCCACGGGGTGCAAAATGCCCTTACATACATGTGGACCGTCCAAGGTGACCCGCCTGGCACTCGTAAGACATTCTCCAAAAATTTCCGCCTCCTCCTTGACTTTCTACATTAGATAATTGTAATGCCGTTTGCGACTTATCAATAGACCAGTGTGACGAAAGTGAAAAATTTAGAATGTGTATGGCACAGGCCGAGTCTGCTTCAGCAACTTTTTTGGATTGGTCGGACACGGCGAGAGGATCCTGTTCATGATTCCGCTTAAATAATGCAATGTGTGGTTCCGTTATGGCTACATCGGTGGCAAATCTATTCGTTGATGCAGTATCGATTCAATGTGTGATTAAAAGAATGTCTTTTTGCCTGCTGCGAATTTTTCAAAAGAAATGGGTAAGTAGAATCATTCTACACTGAAGATGATGATCGCTCCATGAGAGGCAGCTCAGAGGTAAGAAGAGAGAAATGAGTCCCGCTCATGAACGTGCAGTTCGTTCTATATCAACGGCCCTGAGAGAGAACGCCACCTATTTTCCGTGTTAATACCCTTTCCTTTTCCTCCAAACAGGCTTTGATTTTACTGCTCCGAAATTTTGACAGAACTTCTCTTCTTCGTGTTTGATGAATGAACCTACGAAGTACTAGAAGATGTTCATGATGCTTAGCAGGAAGTTTTTTAATTATAAATCTTTATGCAAAATTCCATACCTAAATGGTTTCTGATGATAGAATTGTTTGCGCTTTTCTTTCGTGTTTCTAAGCAAATTAATGATTTCGATTTTCCTCATTCCATAGGGTTTGACAAAATAAGAAATGTCATTGATAGAATGAGAGTCCTTTCTTCGTAAAAAGTGTATGATTAAGCACTGCCATTTTCTAACTTGAAAAGGTTCACTATATCGTTTTTTTGCCGTCAATTAAGATCAACAAAATGCCGGCGTCGACTAATAAAAGTGCAGGTCCTCCGAACATGAAGGAGGGAGATGTCTACCGATATCGGTTCGCATCCACAGAAGAGACAGACTTGCTTTATCTGGGGAAGCTGAGGTCGGTGGCGACACAGAGTAAAAACCCGGTAGGAATGTTATTCGCAACAGAGGAACCTGGTGGTGGTTTTAGTGCTGGTGGAGCGACTTGGAAAGTCTACTACTTGAAGAGCAGAGAGCCAGTGAGAAGCACGGCAAGGACGCAGGAGAGCGCCAACACATCCCAGAACCGGGCGAAGCTTGTGCGTGAAGCAGTTGATGCAATGTACGGCTTTGATGCGATTCACAAAGCCGGCAAGCTCCCGCCCCTGGAGGTGGGAAGTTTTAACCATCTTCATGCTGACACGTCGACAGCAACTGCAACGGCCACGGGCCTTCAGCATTCTTCAAGTGGTGCGTTGACTACGACAGTGAGCCCGGCTAGCACAGTGGCAACCACAGAACTGAACCCACAGCAAGCGCAGAATGGTCCCGCTTCCGCCGTTGGCTCGGCAGTGTCCACAGCCTTCACCTTCAATCCAGCACTTGCCCAGCCAGCAATGTCGCCATGTCCTAGCGTTTCGCGCATAGAGACATCTGTCCTTGAGGTCAGCCAAAACACAACAGCGGTAGATATGTTGACTGAAATGGACTCGAATAGCCGGAGCTGCGAAGCGTCAAGGACAACGGGCGCCGCTGGCAGTCAATCTCAAAGTTATAGACCTGGAGCAGCAACCGCAGCAGCCGGCTTTGGGCAGATCGGCAGTGCTTCGCAGATACCAGCATCTTCTTTTTCGTCTGCTGTCGCGGGTAGTGCTCAGCATTTCTCAAGACAGCAGCCGGCAGCACCTTCTCAGCCTATGTTTACTGCTGGTGGAAGTAGTTCCTCTTCTTCGCATCGTTGCCTCGCGACTGCGAATGATGTCAACAAAACGACAGCGGAACAACAAGCAGCTTTTGAGCACAGTTTTCAAAATGATAGCAAGTTCACCGATAGTGCTGACAGTCGCGCTACAAGAGGCATGCGAATTTATAAGGCGCAACTCAACTGCTTTCAGACAGGACGCGGCCCAGAGCTAATATCCTTGCAGCTGAGCGGTACTGGTACCGAGGGCGCTGTCAAACATCTCCCGCACGTATTCGGTGAAGATCGTTTTCTACGCGCGGAGTTGAACGGCCCTGTAGTACCTGGACCAGATACTTTTTCGTGGCTTCCATCGAGCATTTCATTGCTGGGGCGTCAGTGGGTACCCTTGTGCCTAGAGACTGATGGTGGCGACGCTTGGAGAACAAGAAGTAGCGATCTCGATGCAACTATCGCGTCGGGCGCTTCGACTCCCGCAAGCGCGTTGAGCTTTCTATCAGGTAGCTCCACGTCTACGCTTGGTGCATCGAAGAAGAACAGCGTCGCTGTGGTTTGGTGGTTCGCAACAGAAACGTTGGAAAATGCGATGGGCACTTTTCCGCTTGTGCGCTACAGCATCGACGACATTTTGAGTTACATGACAAGTGGAAACGAAAATGAAGTAGAACGGTTGAAGCAAGCAGGGAACTTGGATAAGAGACTACGGAAGATCATGATGAGCACTGTAATTCCGACTGTTGAAGTTGCGCCAGATTGCATCAGGAAGATAGAGGACTTGGCGAACAGAGGAGGACATCTGCAAACAGCGGGTGCGAGCTACATTGGTGGTGGACTTGCGAGGAGAATTGCAGATATGCGTGGTTTAGACTACACTCCTAGCGTTTTTCAGGGTCGCTTTAAAGTTGGTCTCGCAAAAGGGACCTGGGTGGCGACGAAGGACGAGAAAGACGACAGGTTGTACCTAGCGACGGATATGACCAAGTGCTATTTCGATATCGCCACTGCGCAACGAGCAACGCCGCGTGAGCGCACTTTTGAGCTAAAAACAGATCCTGGCGTCGCGTCAAAGCACACGCGCCAGCGACCGAATGGAGTGAGCAGAGAGATGATCAGCCTCCTCGAGCACCATGCACCCAATAAAGAGGCGTTGCGGCGTGTACTTTTTGACATGCAGGATGAAGAAGTAGAACGCGTGTGCGGTCTGATAGACACGCCACAGAGCCTCTTTGAATTGGTCAGATCAGAGCGCGCTAGCAAACCATTTCAGAAGCCATGGAAAACGCACGCGTTGAATTTGTGCAGTCGACTGCTAGAGGCCGGCTTCGATTTCTCCGATCCGCCTTTGCTGCAGGCCTTGGCCGCTGAATACATCACCAGTGGGAAACTGTTTGACCTGTTGAACAAAGGGCCTGGCGTGGTGCGCGCCTACACCGCGCCAGAGAACACGTTCACAGAATACATCGAGCCAGATTTCTCGAGGACTTTGCGAGGAGGAGAAGTCTCTTTTCAGGCTACTAGTGCGGCAACATCAGCAGCGGCGAGTCCTCCCAATGGTAGTGGGTCCGCTCTTATCTATCGGCCACCGGGAATCTTGCCGACCGACACCATTAAGCGCTCTGTCGTGTCTATTCCACAGGACCAGACACTTTTTCGCACTGACAACTTTCTCTGCTGTAGCTGCGATCGCGACGCTATCAGCTTATGCGACGCTGAAACGCTGGCGGGTGATCTCGACGGCGATCGCGTGACGTTCACGACTGACCCGCGAATTTTAGAGGTGGTGCCAGGAAATCTGGTGCCGCAATTCAATCCGATGGTAACCAACGCACTGACTAAGGTGAGCCCTGTTTGGAAATTCTTTTATCGATGATTGGGTGCTAGCTAGATGAGTCATCGCTTTCCTTGCTGTTCTGATCACGCGCTAGCACGGCGTTATGGTCTTCGTGAGTGAAAATTGATTTCTTTTCAACAAAAAAAGGTGGTGAGCCAGAGTCGTTTGGAATGAAGTCTGTTGCTTCTACGGAGTTCGTCCTCACGTATGTGTTCTTCTGAATTCCATTATTAACAGATTGATGCAGTTTTGTCGCGGACGGGCTTGCTTTCGGTGGCAAGCGACTGCGCAGAGGCCCTGTTGCGCGAGATTCGACGGAAAGCAGGCGATAGCAAAAAGACGGGTTTCCTTTACCTTGAGTGGTTGTGCGAGGCTGACAAGAATGGGCTCGGAACGCTGAAAGCTATAGCACTGGCGAAACTGTTCAAAGCGAGCCTGGATAACAAGTTGTTTCCTGACATGGAGAATGAGGTGCGTAGACTAGCTGGAGTGCCAGAAAAACCTGCCTACAACAAGCAGCTTCCGGATTACTATCGTGCAGCAAATTGTTGGAGACTCGGGGAACCTACACCAGAGAACTCTTATCCCAGCGATCGCGTTTGCGGTCACTTGTTTCGGCGAGCTCGCGAGCTGCACAAAAATAAACACATCAATCTGTATCCCAGGATGCTGCAGAAAGGGTCTTTTGCCCATGGGCGCGCAGACGAGCGCGTGTTGCTGCAGAATTATGTAGCGCCACAAGGCTACATGTGCCAACAGTACGAAAGCAAGGCTAAAGAACTATTGAATGTCTACGGCGCCGTTTATGCGGAAATGCGAAAAGACATCGATGCACTGCAGAAGGTGACCGAACTAAGCAATACTGAGATGTTATGGAGGGAAAAGAATAATGTCTCAACATCAACGTCATTCAGAAGAGGCTTCAGCGCCAAGTTTATTTCTTTTGACGCCTCGATTTTTTTTTCATGAAGTGAACAGACATATACTTCAGTGTCATGACGTTGAGGCCACTTTCTTCATAGATGTCGCACCAGCAGAACTTACCACCGCGCTACCATCTTCACAAACAAGATCCCTGCTTGGTGTATGCAATGCTCGTGCAAGCGGTGAGGGACTTCGTCGTAGAAGCGGTGCGTCGAAGTGGTAAGTGCGCGCCAAAGTCCGTGAGTGACTGTTTTATCGCGCTGTACTACTATTTTTCGGAACCGTTGCAGCACTTGCGCGTCAATGCTCGCCCATTGGATGTTGTTGGAGGACTGCAGGCGGTTTCCTCAGTATGCGTTCAACAGCCTGTTGTAATACCTACTAATCCGCAACAAATGCCCACTCCACAGACGTATCAAGCATTGCCTGTCGTCCCGCAGCACACTGCGCCAGGCCCGCAGAAAGTCGCCGGTCCAACGCATTCCGTCCATATCCGGGATGCTATTTCGCAAGCGGCGTGTGCACGCACTTCCGACTGTTCTATGAATAGCGGCACCCTGCAGTTGGTGGCGAAGTCGAATGTGCGCGTAGGTGGCGGCGCTGAGACTACAGAAGTGTATCAGACGCATCCCATGCGGAGCCGGATCACGTTCGACGCTACGATGCTAACAAGCGGCCAACCTGTGGATTTACATTGTCCGAACTGCACGAGGCCGATCCTCGTCAGTATCGAAGATACCGCAAAGCAGCGTGACGTCATGGACCGCGCAAAAAAGAACGCAATTTGCGCCACAATCTGGGGCACATCTCCAGACTACGTCCTCGGTGCGCTGGTCTTAGGTCATTCTCTTCGACAACATCACGCGGAGGAGCTCAAAGCAGGCACCATCTCTCTCGAACTGCTGGTGGAGAGGAATGTCCCTGACAATCACAAACAGCAGCTTGCAGCTCTGTGGGGCAACCTTTACGAGTTCGACCATCTCGAAGCGTGTCCGAAGTTGGGTGCGAAGACGCCCCGTTTCCGATATGTCTTCTCGAAGTTTCACTGTCTCTCCGACTACTTTTCCCAGAAGTATTCCAAAGTGTTCCACCTTGATTTGGACATGCTATGCGTCGGAAGTTTGGCGGAGGTGTTTGAAGTGCAGACGCCAGCAGCCATGCGTCGCGGACCCATTGCGCAGGAGAAACATGGCAAGATCATCAACGGGTTTTACTGGTACGAAGTGAAGCCTTCAGATTCTGCTCCGGCATATAAAAAGTCCTGGGGTCAGAGTGGGGGCATCAATGCAGGCGCAATGCTTTTTAGTCCCGACCAAACACTCTTTGAACACATCTGCCGCGATATCAAGGACGAGAACCATCCGTCCCATATCGAAGGCAACGCCATCGAACAAGATTACATCAGCCGCTACTTTGCAAACAGCTGGCACCACCTCGACTGCGCTTACAACTACCAGCTCCATCAAATGTACAACGCAATGCAGCCGCACCAGTATCGGAATCAGCGCGGAAAATGCGCAAAAGAATGGGACAAACTTCGGATAATTCATTATTCAGGTGCGGAAGAGGTGAAGCCGTGGGATGTGGTACTACGGGGCGAATTGTGTGACGAGATTGGAGAGGAGTACCTGGAGGAGTGCTTGCAAGCCTATGATGGATATCTGCTATGGGATAAGCTGGACAGTGCCACTTTTGCGCTGAAATACAAAAACGATCAAGAGCATTTTCAGTACAATTATGGAATTGAAAAGTTTGGCTCTATTTTGATTTCAATTTCGCACGGGAATGTTTACTCTCCTGAAAAATTTAGCTGGACTCAAGATTGTGACATGCTGATAATCTTATTTTTTAGGAAATGAATTACCCACGTAACCAAGTAGGTCGCTGGGAGAAGTCTAATTTAAACTGGATTATGGTGATGACATTGCTGAGTCTGTGAACGGCGTTGAAGTTACACCTGCTGCAGCGGAAAAAAGGCCTTTAGGGTTTTTGAGAAAAATCACAACACGGGATAAAGGTGCCACGCCTCGGAATGCAGCAATGAGTGCAAATTATAGGACAAGTAGCGCTTATATGCAAATAACAGAGGTTAACGGCGAACGTTTTGAGAAGATGCCGTTTATCGACAGCGCGGCAAAAGAGAAAGCGCGGGCGATCGTCAAAAATTCGCATGAGGCATGGATGAAGCAGTGTCGGCACCTTTTCCAGGACAAAAATTTCTCCCATCTGCAGCTGCAGCAGTACTTCTTGGGAATAAAGAAATGCTCTGGCATCCTTCTTCTGGGTGGTAAGCGATTTGATGGAGGCAGTGGTGGCAAAGATATTCGACAGGATGTGCGCAGGCACATTAAGCAAATCGAAGGGAACGCTCGAAAGGCCATCGCGGATGCCGAAGAGGAGGAGATGGAGCGGGCGCGTGACCGGCAAAAACGGAGAGCAGCACTTTCTGGCGCTGGCGGAGTTATTGTAGGTGACCGCGTCGCTACGCCAGTCATTGAGCCGTTGAGCTACGTATTGTCGGACGAAGACTCCAACTTTTTCCGCGACCTGCTTGAGTATCATCCTGACAAATTTGAGAAGCTCGAAGACTTCAGTCGTATCGTTTTTGCCGGTCACTCAGGCAAGCACGAGCAGGCTGACGACTCTGAAGGCAGTGGCGTATTCTGTTTCCAAGTTGAACGAGAGAAAACTGGGTCTCGGGTTCCGTTCAGTATTCGCAAGTGCATAGAGGGACTACCGATTCAGCGCGATCAGAACAAGAAGAAGACGCTACGCTTACTTCCTTTCCGGAGTAACGTCCTCGAGGGCCAGGGTGCGCAAGGTGGCGGTGTAGTGGGTGTTGACAAAAATCCGCGCAGAACGTCCATCCTCCTGAGCAGGACTGCTCGCGAAGCAAGTTTTATCTTTGGTGAGGCAGAGCTTTCTGGGCATGAGCTGCACAGCGGAGCAGACCTTTGCGCGGTCTTCTTCCGTCCGGCTTCTCGTAAATCCTCGCTGCAACCGGGGCCATCAGGTAGATGGCGTCTGCTCGCTTGTTTCACTTCCCCCTCTCTCCTGTCTTCCTTTTATAGCACTAACGAAGACCTGAGTAAACTACGACTAATAAATTACCTTGTTGACTTCACATGGTTACTGCACAAGGACAGACTCCTAACGCAGCTAGTGCTAGGTTTCTCTTTGCTTTCGGTTTTTTTAGGATGGATCGTCTCCATTTTTCGCATGCCAGGTTTTGTTCGCACGATGCTGAGCCGTTTTGTCTGCCCCGGACGCAAGAACGGCCGCGACGATGCTGGAGAGTGGATTGTCTTTGAGGAGCCCAAAGCAAACACAGAGCGCTTCTTCAATCAAATAGCCGAGCATGCGCAACAAGGGGCGGAAGAGAGTACTCGGATCCTAGCGCTGTCGGCGAATTGCGCAGATGCTGCCGTAGCGTCTGGTTTGGCGCGTGCCTTTAACGTGAAAGATGCCGACGCTTTCAAACTGAAAGTCGACGAGCGATGTATGCTAGTAGCGATTGGCGTAGTTGGATGCAGCAGTGGGCCTTTCTCGGTGGAGCTCGGCGGCCACAGTCCACAATGGCGAGGCGCTTGGAATTTCTCCGATGTCTGACTTCTTTCCCTGCTTTGCGCAGCAAGGTTTTGCTTTTTGGGTGTTGTACTACTTTTACGCTGCTCCTAAGGAGATAAGGAAGACTTTCTAAGAAGACGCTCACAGGTATTTGATTTTATGATGTGTGCCTTTGGCTTTATATCGCGCCCTTGTGCGATGATGTCGGTGTGTATGATTGATCTCTCTTTGCTAGTGCAAAAAAAGGTCGATGGACGTGTCGCATCTTAGTTTCCATTCCCCGCTTGAAGAAGAGTGTGAAGTCAAAATTCCTTATACCGTTGTATTGTCGTAACTCCGTTTCGTTTGAATTGTAATTGTCTAATCAACACTTTGGTCCCCTTTACACGATGAATTTCAATTTGATATCTAGAGTTTTCTCTTCTCGGCAGAAGAAAACGAGGGTCTTTCACCGTGGCAAAATGCTTATAGATAGTAATCGATCCTGAAACCAAGATTCTAGCCTTCATGATGTGCCACTTATATCCGCAAACTTGAAATAGATCGGTTTGCTGAAAAACTGCGCGTGATATCCAGATCGTCACTTCTTCAGTTACTCGGTGTACCATTTGCTGCGTTGTGTCTGTATGGAAGACCTTCAGCAGATCTTCAGACAATATCAACGAGAGTTTCTGTGCTCAAACCACCGCTTGTTGTCTCCTGCTGGAGATTTCACTCAGCTCGGAACAGTTTGGATGCGGTGACGAGAGACGACTAAATCTTCGGTTCTTTGAGCCTAGAAAAGGCTGTGAACCAGTGTTTTGATCCAAACTTGTTATTTCTGGAAGATCACAATAAGGGCCTCTTCTGAGACGAGAGCAGGGTTGTGTTCGTAGAGAAGCGCAAGTTTTAATAGCCCCGCTCTCTTATTGTATCCGCTTCGAAGCATGTTCTGAATATAATTCTGTGAGATGAGTCAGGGTGGGTTCACATGAGAGAAGAGGAGTTTTTTATGCCTGTTGAAGACCACGAAATCTGCCCTTGCCTTCCAACATCTTCAGGGTCAATCATTCTTTTTCAAAGAATCATTTTTGGTTGTCGCGTATAGTTTCCTCTTTCGGTTCCGCTTAAATGAGCAATATGTAGTGCATTGTGTTTTGAAGAGACTAGTATGAAGCTCTTGGATTGTCTGATTTGGAATCCTTGATTTCATACATGTTCTTATCTAAACGTAGCAGAAAGCGGTAGAGAAATCTTCTTTCTGGTAGTTTTTGTGAATGTCACAGGGCACCGGTCGTGCATACATTATTTAGTAAACTTTCCGTATGTAGTTTGTGTGTCCTTTAGGCATTCAGCAAATCATGCTCTTCAGCAAATCATGTCGTGTACCAAATCAACTTGAATTTTCAGTGATAGATCACCATTGAAGTTGCCGCTGATATTTGTGCAGAGAGACTAGACGACGTCGTCACGGCAACGCCATGAATTCTTGGTGTGAAGATCGTAGATTATTTATGGGCTTGAACTCATGTCATAAAACGGTAGAGTTGTGATTATCTAGGACAAAATCATGAGGAATAGATCATAAGTCGATTTTCTTTTGAATATCCCATTTGAGGTTGTTCTTCTTTTATCATAAGAAAATACCTTGCTAGTACTGCACTACTTTCAGGACATTGCGTAAACGGTAAAACGGTATCGTTTATTCCCAGTCATTCTCTCTGACAAATGTCGCGTAGGGGGAGGTGCGTAGATTCTTGCGCGCTGCGCAAGCATTCGTTTGATCGGCATTGTTTCCTGTTTGCGTCCGTCTTGTGCTATTTCGGGTTCTTCGCTGGCACCTCGTATGCGTACCCTTCGAACCGCGATAAGATTCCCAACGCTTGGGAGTTTCTGTATCTAGGTCACGCCAAGAAGCCGGGAGGAAGCGGCACGCATAACAATGCTTTTGGTACTGCGTTCATGGGAGCAGGGTGGCAGTGGACACAGGCCTTGTGCCAAGCAGACTCGGACGGCGACGGGTTCACGAATGGGCAAGAACTGGGAGATCCGAACTGTACTTGGCAGGAAGGCGACCCGCAACCGTCGTGCGGTGGCTGTCCCTCGCACCCAGGAGATTCAGAGGACGCAGCAATGTGCGGACAAGGGGAGAAATACTGCGGGCAAGTGGAAGAGAAGGAATCTCGGCTGCGTTTGCACGGCGCGTTAATGCTGATTGCGTGGTTAGTCTTAGCACCAGCTGGGGTCGCGATCGCAACCTTCCGACGACAAGCTTATGGCGGTCAACAATCTTCGGACGGGGGTGGTTCTATCGCACAGTCGGGCACCAGCATTGCACCCGCAGGCGTGACAAGCAGGGACGCGGAGGAGGGGGAAACGGCATTGAAGAAACCTCCCGCAACGACGTTGATGCTCATGCACAAGCTCACGCAGGTTGCGGTAATAATCATAACGATTGTGGCCTTGATACTACCGTATGCAGGTCACAGCCACGGTGACGACGATGGTGGCGGGCATTCGCACAACACACTTGTGTCGGTTCACGGAGCGCTCGCCTACATCATTGTTGCACTCGCATGCTGCCAGTTTCTTCTCTGGGTCGCACGACCCTACGTTCAAGCAAAAGCGCGCGCTGGGAAGGACAACGCCACGGAGTTAACGGAGGTGGCGCAAAAAGGCGACGTGGTGCAGAATAGTACTATCGTTGATACTTCTAAGGGAGGTGGTGAATCGGCGATCTGGGAAAAAGCCTCTGAGAACTGGCTCGCTACTCATCGTTGGAGTGGAATATTGTGCTTTTCACTCGCGGGTGCAAACGTTTTGCTTGGTTCGTGGCGTTTCGACCAATTACACACAGATTCTATCTTCAAGATCACGGCCCTTATCCTTCTTCCATTGTCAATTATCGTTTTGATCGCAGCACGAGTTCTTGGCGGGCGTGTTGGCGCAGCCTCGTCAATGTCGAGAAACGAAAGTGCGACAGGAGATACGCCATCTAAAGCATAGAGATTCACAGCGCAAGCTCTTATTTCCAGAGTGAACAGTATTCGAATTTACAGCATCATGATCAAGAAATTAACATATTTATACTGCGTGTAGAGAAACAAGTGTTTAAGAAATGTGAAGTATTCATCATGGCGGTTCAAAAGTTTAGTTCCTATTATAATTGCCATGATTACAGATTTATCCAGTAAAAACGTCGTGTGTTGTCAATCAACAAATGATCTCACAAAACGGGCTGCACGCCGTTTTGGCTCAGATTGGCTCAGCTTTTTCATTCTTATGAGAGCATGCACGTCAAAATCATACATCTTTTCTTTAACATCGGCGACTTCTTGCTCGCTCGATTATGGAAAAGCAGTAGCGATGTTTATCACGACTGAATTTGAGAGCTTTACTAGCATCCTCGATTACAAATGTTACAAAAAGCAGTTTCCACGCGTTCGCCGGAAACGTGTCTGCGGACAATCGCGCATCATCGCGTTGAACAGTCGTGACAAGTTTAGGTATTACTAGAGATCATGAGTGGCCAATCTATCATGCTGTCTCTTGTCATATGGGTAACAGAGAAGGTCTGCTGTGTAGACGCGATATTGTCGCTTTTGAAAATTCTTGGTATCAGAAGGTAGCAAGTGGATAGTTCTGGTGAGGGAGAGCTAAATTTGCTGAGTGATCGATTGTGGAAAAACTACTGCAAATATCATTCCATTGTAGAAAAATACTTCGATAAAAAATGATATACTATGGTCTTACCCGGCGACGACGCAACCAACGAAAAGCCAGCATCTAATAACACGAAAACGAAGTAAGTATCCAGCGGGAAAACACAAATTACAAACTCAAGTTCTCGGTAGGTCGCACGTAGCAGGAAGGTCATGACTTGTCATAGGAGCGGACTTGTAAAACTTGCAATGTGCTGTTAATGCAAGTCAGTTGTCTAGTGGTTTTTTCTAGTACAACTACTAGGACGTTCATGCAAGAAAAAGATGTCGTTTTCGTCTTTTCTATCCTAGGGGTCGACAGGCAAGAAAGGAAATGGAGGAGATAGGCAGCCTTCCTCGGGAGGCACAGCTGGGGAGGGCGCGCTTACCTCGGAGGAGGTCGATGTCTTCGTTCAGCAGCTGCTGGAAATTCGAAACTCCGTCGAAACCAGTCGACAAAAGGTGGGCACGATTATGCTCACGGAGTGGGAAGTTCGACGGCTACTGAACGCGACGCGTGCGATTTTGCTGGCGCGACCGGTGTTTCTCGAGTTAGAAGCGCCCCTGAACGTTTTAGGCGATCTGTATGGGCAATTTTTCGATGTCTTGCGCTTCTTCGACACGGAAGGTTAACCGCCGGAGTTCAACTACCTCTGCTCGGGTGACTACGGGGATCGAGGAAGACAATCGTTGGAAGTCACGTGCCTCTTGATGTGTTTCAAGATTAAGTACCCTGAAACCTTCTCTCTGCTGCGCGGTAATCACGAGTGTGCAGGCATCACGAGGATCTATTAAGGTTCTTGACCCATTCTTCGAATACGTCTAATTCAGAAGAAGAGAGATGCTGAAAAAAATGACTCAGGCTCATATTTTCAGGAATGAGAGGAAGAAAATTGTTAAACCCTGGATGCTAACCTTTACCGAAAGATGAGGCTAGTTATTTTTAGCAGGACGCTCGTATTGGAACCACGTGATTATCGTTCCACCCTCTAATTCCTTGGTGTTTACGATGACTGCAAGCGACGATACAGTGTGAAGGTGTGGAAGCAGTTTTGTGACATGTTAAATTGTCTTCTCATGAGTGCACTGATTGACGAGAAAATCCTTTGCGTCCATGGTGGTTTGTCACCCGGAATCAACAGTCTGAATGACTTACGCACTTTCGTACGACCGACGGACGTACCTGATGTAGGAATTATTTGCGATTTGCTCTGGGCAGATCCGGATCAGGGCATTACGGGTTTTGCTGAGAGAGAACGATCGCGGTGTATCCTACATCTTCGGGCCGGACGTGGTGCAGAAGTTTTTATCGAAAAACGACCGGGATTTGGTTTGTCGAGCGCACCAAGTTGTCGAAGATGGGGAGGAGTAATGCTTTTCTAGAAAACTATTATGAAATTTCGATGCTATAATTCTCTGTTCGAATGTCCTCTCATGAACGCCAGTATGATTGTGTGATTTTGTGGTCCATGGTCAACATTGAAGCTACGATGTTCTTACTTCTTGGTCACATATCATAGGTATGAGTTCTTCGTGAGACGACAGTTGATCACACTGTTTTCGGCACCGAATCATTATGACGAATTCGACAGCGCTGTTGCGATGATGAAAGTCGATGACGCGTTGATGTGCTCCTTCAAGGTGTTGAAGCCTGTGCCTAAAAGGCTCTCAAGGACGCGGAACGCGACGGGGTTTGAAAGTCGGCAAAATAGAGCTTCAAAAAAGACTTATGCTTTTTGGATTTGGAGCGGAGTAGTTTGGATGGCCTAGGAGGAGGCGCGTGGTCTTGCCTTTTTGCTTTCCTGAGCTAATAAGAGCTTACTTACACTCTATGCTGGCATTCCTTCTGCGGCTAAGATATGACACCAGGCGAATACTCGATTTCCCGCCTTGTGATCTCTAAAAGAACGAACCTATTCTATTTGTTGATGCTGAATAGTATAATCGAGATGAGAAGAGGACTGAGACTGACAATGACATGTGTCATCTTGTTGTTGCGTACAAGTGCATTGTGAGTGGTGGTAGCCGTCCTAGAACTGTGATGTTCTGTTTGAGTGCCTTTGCCGTTCTGGATCAACAGAAGGTAGTGACTGGTTGGTTTATAATTATGTGTTATGTGATTCGTCTGCTCGATGCGGTGTATTGAATAAATTGTCGAGGACGGTCGTGAGTGGTCTATGTTTTCATTTTTGTAGTAGCTACAGGTATAATGAACAACAATACAGGCATAATGAACAACTGGCGTATTTATACTCATACGTATGCGAAAGTACTACTTACGTACCCAGCTAATTGTATTTTTGCATAGAAAGATTAGGATTCTCGTAAGAGGTTATTTTGTTGAGTGGTGACACAATATATATCGTGGTTTTAGACGGGCATAGAAGTTTTGGTTATAGCATACATAGGATATTCGCGTCTGAATGCATGTATTTCATCATGCTGCAGGTCGCATGAGGTCGTTTCACTCTTTTATTCGGGGTGACTTGAGTGGGTGGCTTCTTTGATGTCGAGATCTTCTCTTCGTCAAGGTTTTTACATATTTTGAGCAGTCATGTTGTAACTGAGTTATCGCCCCCAACCTGATTTTTTCCAAATGCAGAGCTACACCATCATGATCATGCTTTACTAAGTGTGGAAATGACCTACAGTGGACTGCAGTGACCTGACTGGGCATAGATGGAAGCTACCCTAAGATGCTGCCTCGTTCTTTTTCCGATATAGTATAGAAAGAAATCAGACGAGCAGCTACAGCTAAATAGTGTTCCGTTTCGATTTTTTGCTCTGGCATCTTCTCTTTCATATCTTGATGATGCTAAACCTAAAATGTATGGATGTTATAAAGATTTCATTGTAGAGGTAGTTCAAACTCACTTTCCGTACGAATATGGTTCATAGGAAATCTTCATACAGCACCAGAGCACTATCGCATATCGCTGCAGCAGATCATGGTTTACGATTAGGATCACATCAGTAATTCTGTTTCGTCTTGGTTCGACTGAAACGCGGCTATGCTCCAGACACAGGGCACCATCGCCTCTCTTCTAGGTAGCAGAGTATTTTTTTGCTAACTATGTGGTCCTAGAAAGACGAATCACGAAGAGTGCCATAACAACACACCCCGGAGGACATTCTAAGGGCCATGATCTGGCACTTCCGACGCGATGGGAGTCTCTTTGGTGTGACGTGTCTCTTAGAAAAAGAGGCAACGCGCAAACCACGAGGTATCCTCCTCCTGGTTTTTGCTGCGTGAATTACTTTTTTTTTGTGCAACCAATTGCAAAGAGGTTCTTCCTCTTGAGTTCTCTCCTCGTAACGAGATCCAAGTGACGAGAAAGAAAAAGTGCTTGAAGAATTTGATCAAGCCGTGAAGAATCAATTCGTTACCTTTCGTGAGGCTGTCGCACATAGCGTCCAGGCTAAAGTGCAATTAGTGCACTCATGATGCAAGGAGGTCAATGTACTCCACCTGCCACCAGTTTGCGAACTGGATACCACTGAGGCCACTCTTTCAGCAGCCCCAGACTACAAAGAAAAATAAAGTATGACCCCCTGAAACTTGAAACTTAGAAGATGCTCCCGCAGGAGGTGCTGTTGTAATTCGTCTGCAAACTACTCAGACTAGCTCCAGGACCTGTAGAAGTGGCCTTTCTTTACGTATCCCACCCAGATTCGTTTCTCCGTTTCGAAAAGTAAAATGAGGTGAAACCACTGCGATTGATTTTGTCCGCTTTTCTTTTCCGAAGCCAACAGCAGAACAATTCGTTTCGCACATGATCCGGTCATTCTCGACTAAGCACCTATTTGCTTGAGTGTTATTTTCGGAATTGCGCTCGCGATTCTCCCATTACAGTTTCTGATTCAACCACGACTAGCTATCGCGCTTCCTCTCTTGAGTGTTATCGCAGTTGTAAGTAATTCGACATCTTCTATAATTTTCAAAAATACTCTATTGCTTCATCATATCATCCATTCATCACAATCTTCAAGTTCAAGATCATCAGTACTAGTGTCAGCTACGACAAAGATGACTCCGCCTCGTAGGGCTCTACACCTTGTTGCTTTTGTCCTCTCCGGTTCGTCTTTATGCGAAGCCGGGGATGTCGCCGTTTGCCAAGGCGAAGGACCTCGATATGGCGACTTCAAGTGCAATCATGACGGAACACACAGGGTCTGTGCGACACTCGTCAAAAACAATACTGCGACAGTGGAAGTTAAGTACGAATCTGCATATGATTGTTCAAGAACTAGCTATATGACTTCCAAAAATTCGTTCATCGTGCCGGCAGGTTGCAACTACTACATTGCTGTGCGCCATTTCATCTACTTAATCCGACCAATAATATTTCAGTTACTTATTGAGTCAACCTGATCGTAGTCCCTTTTTCCTTGTCCTTCGATTTGACAACCTATCCGTTTTCATGTGCTCAAGTACACGCAACACTGCTTGCGAGCCGCTTGCATGGGACAATGGCCGTAACTTCTGGGAGATCACTGGGCAAGCACGGTGGCAGTGGAACGATAAAATCTGTTCGGCGCCGAATCCAGGCACCAATTGGTGCATATGCATGTGGGCTTTTGCGCGTCTCATTAAGGCTACAGATTACTGATCTTGCTCCACGCGGACTTGTATGTGAGGAGTATTAACCTGGAGCAGCAGATGATCTTTGGTAGTTACAACTTGCAGAGAAGCATCGAAAATCGTCGTGGCTACTTTTGGTTATACTTGATAGTCTATCCCTCGGTGTTCTTGCTCTTGTTTCGAGAAGGTACAAGTCGGCTGCAGCAACCTCAAAGCCATTAGATAGGATGGGTCACGATCGAGGTAACATGACATGGTATGACATAATCTTCTTCTAATTTATTTCGAGTAATTACATACTGTTTGTCTGGTGGAAAAATGCGCCATACAAGATGCTCACATCTCTGGTGTCGGTCCTAGATAAAGAATATTTCCGGTCCAGCTCTAATCTGATTGACGAAGTTGGATGTGATAATACGCATATTGACTGCGCAGGAACGGATGTTGACTTCGTTCTGGCGCAATACCGGGATGGCAGTGTCAAGCTGGGAACGGCTCACACGTGCCTGCGGGAAAAATGCAGGAGCGGTGGCGTCGCGAAACAAATCCAAACAGACCTTTGAGATGAGTGCTCAATCTCAGTCTGGTGATTTTTGAGTATGATGTCTTACTGTCTTACTACTTGAATATAATTGGTAATTGATTCATCGTTTGCGTTTCACTCTTATTGAATATATTTTTGCCGGGGGGGTGTATCTCGAATATTTCATCATGAAATTGTCGCACTTTCTGTGAAGGCAATTATATGCAGCTTTCAGATTGGACGAAAGAAAGATGGCGCGAGCGCCCATGCAGTGTGCAGAGTTGCGATACGTGATGATGGGGATATGTTTACTTCATGATACGGTACCAATTGCTCTGTGAAGTAAACGAAAATCAAGTGGGTATCGTCCTATCAAAACCAAAGGAACAACAGCGCTTGGCTGGCCCGTGCAGCTCACTTCAGTGAAGCTGTGCATTTCGATGCCCTATGCAAAGGCCCTTAAAGCGTTGTTTGTGTGTGTGAAGATCTTGAGCGCGTAGTCTGTGAGTTCATATCGAGATAGTCTGTTGAAGAGAGAAATATGAGGAATCGCACTGTCCTCCCTGCGTGCTCTACTGGCAGAGGTCAAAGATTCGTCCATGACTCGGTGGGCAAGCTCTACTGGTGAAGGCGAGAGGCTGAGTAGAATGCAGTGAGTGAGCCTGTCAGCTTGTGCTCGGGCTCTATCGACATATTTATTTGTTCGAGAGAATATCAAGATTTTGGTCCTCTTCGGTCTGAATCATTATTACAAGATTGATACGAGAGATCTCCAAGACTGGTCGACCATTCGAAGTCGATCATCTGAGCGTCGAAGTTGAGCGAAATCTCTCCAAATGTTTGCTGTTCCTTGCTGAGAGCACGTGGAGGGATTCAGCATGTTTGGCATTCCTCTGTGGTGAGACATTAATTTCTGTGGTGTACAAGACGAGGGAGAGAGAGAGTCAAGCTCTTGCAGGCTGGTGTGTTGAGAAATTCACCATTCTGTGATCTCTACGAGATCAAGCTTGATCCTAGCTCTGATTTATGAATACCTCTGCAGTGTGCTCGACAATAAGATCCCCTATACCCAAACTGGTATGCACCTCTCTTCATTTGTAGCTCTGAATTATTATTCCAAGACAATTTAATAGTAACATTCACTGCAGTGTTGTAAATGGCAAAAATATTTTAGATGTGATTGAGCACGCATCATAAGAAGTTGTCGTCCATTTTTACTTCATCCATCTGAGTAACAGTATTTCTACTTTTTATTAAGAGGTCGCACCACAAAATGCGAGCGTCTCAGATGGGTTCGACGTCCTCGGGGGCCGGGGGCTCCCGTCCGTCCGCACTAGCTGCGACCCAGGCTCAGCGTGCTTCTCTGCGTGCTGCGGCTGCGGCTGCCGAGCAAGAACGTGCTCAAGCCAGTATGCACCAGCCAGATAGTGACGACGAAGGTGTTCAGACTTTCGAAACCACCACTGTAGAGATGGAGGAACCTACGTTTTTTGAACTTTTGACGGGTGCTGAAAGAGCTAAGAGACCAAAACAGTGGTACATCGATGTTCAGCAGTTGTATCCACCAGAGTATTGGGACCGTCTCAGAAATCCCGAACGCCACGATCCGGAGTTAGACGACGAACTGGAAAAAATGCAAGCAAAATACGGACCCAAGGCGGGGGGAAGTAATACTTCTATACTATAGATACTCCTATACTATAGATACTTCTATACTCGTTTATTTGATCAAACTCTGACACTGAAATTCAAATATAGTTTTCATCTTAGCCTCACTTGCTCACTAGTTGACGAGCACTCCTAATAGTCGCACGTTCCCCATCTAAGTTCAGATAAGAAATAACGCTATTGATAATCCTTATTCTGTATTTTCGAAACTCTACTCTTAATGCGGATCAGATCATTTACAACTGATTCTCCTTCATTTCCGGAACAACATCATCTTATCTCGTCACCCCACCTTCAACAACAGATGCCACCGAGACGCGCGCAGAGAAGCTAGTGTCGGCCGATGCTGACGAAAACCGTAGTTTTTTGACCGCAGCAGCGAAGAACCTGAAGAATGAATTTACCACGGAGGAAGAGGTCTTCGAAACAATGGTCCATTTGGCGAGTAGCACGCATGGTTGCTTGATGAAGGAGCGACTCGGTGGCACTGGTTGCGCGAGCTTGTTCGTTACGCCGGCCCCAGTGTTGCGCTACTTCGATGTGGCGCGTAAGAAGGATGAGTGGGTGCTAGACTACTACATCGATAAGGAATACCGCGAAGATCTGCGCCCAACAGTAATGTACAACGTAAACGACGACCGCGGAACCGTCATGATGAAGTTGGTAGAACTACTATGTTTTTTTGACGTTCTTGCTAACTAAGTGTAATCTCTTGCCATAATTAAATCGACCTCCTGCCAGGCACATCAATCAATCAATCAATCAATCAATCAATCAATCAATCAATCAATCATCTCTATTGATTCAACAAAGTGAAATTTGAAACTCTGGAATTGGATTTGTGTACTACAACCTGCTACCTTTATAGAATATGGAGACGTTACATTGATCCTTGCTGGGTCGGAAATGTAACGACGACAATCGCCTTGACCTCGAAACCCCACAATTTCTTTTTTTTCAGATCAAGAAAGTGTGGAAGGGCCAGCACGACTACAGGCATCAGCTTCTTATCATTTTCAACGAGTACGATGTGGATACAGGCAAGCCGACCCCTACGTCAAAAACAATGAAGATGGTATTGATTTGATTACTGTCTATTTGATTCTTACATGCCACCTGGGCTTCTATGCGGAGGGCAAAGTTTGTCCACGTGATGAATAGGCACACTAAATCATTCACGTTCTAGTACACTCTTAGGCTCATCAAATTGTTCTTCTTATTATACGCATTCAACGAAGTTGAGTCGTTGTTGTTCTCTTCTCATGAAGGTGATCACCTTCGAAAAATCGACTTATGATCTCTAGAAGGAATCTCCACTAGTGCTCCAGATCATGGATGTTCCCAACTTTCAGCAAATGAACTCTAATTTCCGGACTTTCATCACATTCACAACACAATTCACAACGCAACCTGCCTTCATCACAACTCAGGAACTGACGTGCCAAAACGAGAAGGACTGTGGTGTTTGGTGCCGCGTTTTGAAAATGTTCGTGGCCGTTGCCAAGCAGGAGCACCTGGGCAAAGTCCGAAACCGAGCACAGGAGATGATCCGGCAGAGAGAAGCAAACGATATACAATCAGGCCTCGCTAGTGCTGTGCAGTCGCAGAGACAAGACGCGGGATTGATTCAAATGAGGAATCCGGGTATACTCTCTCATATTAAGTAGAAATTTGAAGAAAAAGTAGATTTTGTTTTGTACCTTCGTTGGGGATTTTGATCGATCTAAAAATCAAGGCGGCAACTGCTGAGATGCAAAAGATTTCGATCCACTCATGTCCCGACTATGTTGCGGCTTTTGCATTTATTGAAATCGAACATCGATTCTCATTCTTTACCGATTCTGTATTCTTTTGCTACTACAACCTGAAAATAAAACACAGGTTCGGTCACTGAGGGTACAGCTCCTGAGGAGGGTGGTTACTACGACGAGGCCGGGAACTGGATAGATACGACGGGTGCTGCGGGGCTCGGCTACTACGATGATGAGGGTAATTGGGTCGATGCGGCGACTGGAGAGGTGACGAAGGCAGAAGACCTAGACGGATACTGGGACGAGAGCGGCAATTGGGTGACAAACGAGGCTAAAAAGTAATCTGACTTTGTCAGCGCAACGGGGATGATAAGGTCTGGTCATTCATCTATTGTCGTCCGATGTCATTTTGCGAAATTAATATAACACGGGTTCTTGATACAGCTTCAATCTTTCTTGCTTCCTTTACGCAGCGAAACAGAGCATATGAAAAGCATATTCATACGTGCCATCATAGTTTATAGCATGAAACGACGTGAAATATTGACTTATAGATTTTGGCTTATTCATCATAATCAGACTAATACGCATAGCATTCATAGAGAGAAACGCAGATACATCCACGTAAAAAAGAAGCAAGCATCTTAGTGTTTCGCAAAAACACGTACAAAATGTTCAGTTTATCACAGAGTAAGGCTTTCCTTCGACGAAACGCATGATAATTCAAGTTTTGTATAGTTTACATAATAGACGCTAGGGATAATGTTCTATTGTTAATGTTCGACGCATGGGGTAGGTAGCGGAGTAACCAGATGAATGTACTTCTGGTTCTGGAGAAGGTAATTACTAGGGATCATTGATGATAGTCTGAATACTTCTAAGAAAAGACGACGGATGAAGGATAACAATTCGGGATATTCAGTGTACTTAGTCAAGCTCATACATCCATAGTAAGCGCTCTTGTGGAATCCTCTAACATGTCCATGAGAAGACTAAGAGGTGGTGATGTTCTCAACATATCGCCTTGAACAAGAAAACTGACTTTAAAAAATGGAAGACAGTACTATCGGTCCTTCTCGTCTTTTAAACAACTTGTCGCAAGAAGACACGCTGCGTCGGTCGTCCTGAGTTCGGCCCAAATGATCGGTGGACAGAGAAACTTGGTAAAACTCGGTAAATTTCCGCTCAAGGCTCGGTTTGTCCATCTTCTTCTTAGCTGTGCCAATCCCCACCGCATTGGCGTAAGACGAGCTTCTGCTAGCTACTTGAATTTTGGTGCCGTACTCGTTGTAAAATGTAATTCACATTATATACAGGACCACGACAGCGCCGGCGCTTAGTTAGTAGTGATAAGTTCTTGCCTGACTTTTCTTTTTTCGGTTTTTGTTTTTTCTAGTTTGATATGCTCCACCAACATTATATAAGACAAAACTTATACTGCTGTTATCCCTATCCTTATTGATACCTGCATGTCACGACATGCGTCTGATTAGCTTAGAAGCATCACAAAAACTGAAATATCGAATAATGAATCTGATTGAGCCCTGCCGCTCGTTAGCCACCCGTATACAGTGAGACTATTGATTGAGAACAAAACGCTGCAACATCGCTAGCCTAAGCCTGTAGGATACTAGCTCATTTACCTGGTAACCCGTTAATTGTTGGTAACTTTTGCACCTCTCTACCTCCGCCGCACGAAGAGCATCCAAGATGGCGGACCTTCAACAAGATGGCCATGTAGAGATGGATCTTGCTTTTCACAAAGAGGTGAGTCGACGGCTCACTGCACGTTTGAAGGCAGCAGGAATTCTTGTGGATTCCGATACTGTGAATCAGCAGGTAAGTAGTGGACGCAGACGTTATCCATCCGGTTCTGGTGGAGTAAGCAGGCGCCCTACTTTTGCATCGCGCCGGGGACGCCGGGAAGGCAGTCTAGTTTCAGAAGGAGTAGGCAACGAGCCATTATACGAGGGTGAGGAGGAGACGGTGTACGGTGATACTGCATCCTACCTTGGGGATTTGCACGGCGCGACAACGGAAGAAGAGGAAGGAGATACGAGTTTGGGTGCTGTGATCCATCGTGCTAGTCAGGCAGTCGTGGAGTCTTTCGGATCATTGTTCGCAGGTCCTCGTCCCTCGTTTTTCCAGGACGATTCCGACACAGCGACGCCGGGGTCTGGTGCGTCGGTGATCGACGACTTCTCACAGAACACGAGTAAGGTCGCGACCTCACCGGGAGGTGAGCCGGATGAAAGCAGCCACGACAGGTTCTCAGGACCAAATAATGGTCGGGGCGGTGCAAGCACGAGCGGTGGCACTGGCTTGACAAACGAAGCTACACGACGAGGTAGTGCGTCTTCTACAACTCCTCTTCCTGCGAAGAAACGAAACCCTGCGCCCAAGGTCGTGCTTTTGGAAGGTGGTAGCAAGCGCATAGATCGGCTTACTCAAGACGATCTTTGGCTAGACTTTTCTGCACTAGGAATCAAAAACTCCGACTCTGATGATTTGATGGAGGAGCTAGAAGAAAATCGCCTCCAACGCTCGCTCGACAACAGGCTAGAGCGGGAAAAAATTAGTAAGTTGTCTCGGAAAACAAGAGCGGAAGCGGACCCGTTTCAAATGGTGCCACAAAATCTTGCGCAGATGGAAGAGGGCATGGGTAAGACATTTTGAAGGCTATCGACGTTGTCGCTAGTCTCGACAAGACTTTCCATTCAGCACATCAATCTAAAGAGTACTCGTGTCAGGAGGTAGTTTTTCCATTTTACTATATTGACCCAGACGCGGCGGTCTGGTGCATGGCTTCGAAATCACACGTCACGAAATGTTTAAATTTTTTTATGCTGATATTGTTTATTCGGATTCGTATCCTCTAGGCGCGCTAGTCTCTCTTGCAATGCGCACGCGTGGAACTTTGGAAAAGCAGTCGTTTAGACAGTTGGAAGGCTTCGCATCGTGGATTCGCGTGGATGCACCTAAGCGGAGATATTTTACCGTCTCTCGCAAACATGGAAAATGGGTTTTGGACTGGTTTCTCTCGAGAGGCCATGCTGCCGAAGCATTTGGGACCTACGAAGAAGAACTGACCGATGACCGGGGCACCATTCCATTTGCGGACATTGAAAAAGTTTGGAAAGGTACTATCAAGAATTCGTGTGGCGTTTGGAAGGCGATTTGTGATTTTTTCTTGTATTACAGGTTTCACACACTGCTGGTCGCAGTTACAGAATGCAAGCTCGAGCGGTGTCGTGTGTAGGTCGTACAGACCACCCGCTTTTTTGATGCCTGTAATTGATGCTGATCAGGTCGTCTGGATTACGAGCATCAAATGTTGTTAATGTGGCGATCAGAGGGTGGACGGCTGCGACGTATGGAGGTATACGCGAAGTGCCCAGAAGACGCGGACAAATGGGCCCATGCATGGAAAATTTTCCAAAAAGCCGCCCACCAGGAGGCTATGGCACAAGCCGAGCGTGAGGACACTGCGCGCATCGTGGCGGCGGATATTCAGGCAGAGCGCAAGAGGAGTATCTCTTCAACACGATCCTCCACTACTTCAACGATGAACATGCTCAAGACGAGAACATCGAAGGGGCAGCTACCAAGGAGGGCGTCGAAATTGGAAGGCGTAGCAACAGGAGTGAGTAAAGACGATGAAGAGGACGAAGAGGATATAGGGCGGCGCACAATTCGAGAGCGCGCCACAATTTCGCGGAATCAAGCGCTCGCTTCGGTTCGTGAATCAATGCGTCAGGCTGGGTCAGCGCTCATAGCAGCAGATGAAGAACACGATGAAGCCTTGCGGACGTCAGCTTGTGGCCCACCCAGAAAATATAGCACGCGATGGAGAGCTACTTCGGCTTACGAAAGAGATACACTACTAAACTGCTTGGAGTATTCTTTTTCCAAAAATGCTTAGTATGTGAATGTAATCTTAGACGATCATACTTAGGCATCCTGATGGGTAGATTCACATCATTGAGGTTGCTATGTCTTCGGCCCCGATCCCCGTTCATATCCGGAAGATGAACACGAACGATTTGCCATACTTCGATGCAACAAAACACAAGGACTCGGTGTACCTACGGGGCCTGGTGTCTTCGGTGCAAAAGTACAGCATTGTAGTAGACGAGAACGCAACTTGGGGAAGAGACAGTTTCTTTGAAGATGATGGCCCCAATGACTGAAGTGCTCACGACACCGTGCGAATGTTGCTACGTAGTAGCTTTTCAATGAGCGAGATGATGCTCCATGTCAGAATATGAGATAATTCTGTCTAGTCACTTTTCAGGCGTGCAATTAGGGCGGTCGATATCGAAAAAAAAAACGCGCTCTTTGTGCTGGTCCGCACATCGGATCTGGACATGGTGGTGTCGCACATTGATCCTTTTTGCCCTACATGCTATGCATGCTGTTCATTCTAGGATTCCATTTCCAGGCTGTAAAAACCACAAAAAAGCCAGTGAGTACACTTTTCGTCTCGGTCTGTTGTAGTTCGTCGGTCACTACATAAGAACTTTCTGAACTTTCTCTTTATATGCAAAGCCAAAGTAGAAGAAAAAATGTGAAGAAACTTCCGAGATTGATTGTACGTGCTACTCCGAAAAATAGTCTGGCATGCAACCATCCCCGTCGGAAATGCTTGAGCACCTGGTTCGTTGACAATAAGGATGTCAAGAACACAATAAGATGTTGGTATTTTCTCTATCTCAAAAAAAGAACAGCGCCAGATGATCTATCTTTGGGCCGCCGTCACTTCTTAGGTTCTTTACCATTTGGGGGCCCATAGCGTGCATTTTAGAACCACAGTTTGTGCTCTTTTTATCGACAAATTTTTGTTTTCTATTTCTAGACCGAATAGAAATGGTTATGCAAGAAAGTTCTTCGGTCACTGGATCTTTAGTTAATTTTGTTTGTTGTTTGCTGAAGTCGATTGGTTGTAGAACCAGAATCAATGTTGATGTTCAGTCTCATCGGCAGAAGTTGTAGCAAGACGACGAATAACATGTTGTTTCCGAGGATCCTAGTATGGACACTCCTATGGGCGGCGCTTTCCGCGAAAGCTGTGATCGTGGATACGGACGATAGCATCAGACATGGTGCCTGCGATTTAGAGTGCGTGCCTCGTTGGGCACGAGAGGAGGGCAGGACGCCTGGCTTCTCTCGTCTTCAAGAAGTGTTTGCGGTGACGCCTTACGCAATCTATCTGCCACGCGACGAGGGGAAAATGATGGCTCAACTTTCAGATCAGCAGCGTAACTTGAAGGGTTGGCTAGATAGCGAGTACGTGCTAGTCAGGGCTTTCACGGTGTCGAAGATCTTTGAGAATGCGACCGAGCAGGACAAAGCAACGCACTTTGGAGCCGATCATTTCTTGGCTCAAATTCTCAACGCTTCAGGCTGGGCCAAGGATGAAGAGCCCGAATCAATTGTAAATACATCGAATGGAATCGCCGCCTGGCGCAATCTTGGTATGGAACGCTGTATCGAAATCAAGGAAAGAAACAAGCGGAAAAGAAATCTGCAACTTCAAGAACCGTATCTAGACGCCGCAGCTAGAAGAGCCCGTGATCGTAAAGACCGCCACCTCTTTCGTCCACAGAAACGGCGGGCCCTACTAGCACTTGGATCTTCTCAGCATGGCGTAAAGCGCCGGTGGGAGGAAGATAGTATAATAGGAAAAAACGCGCGGCCATGCTCTTGGCCTTACTAGGTAGGACCGGCGTTAGGGACCTCGAAAACCTTTCTATGACCTAGATCCTTGTCATTGACCTACGGAGGACCATAGATGAAGACGGAGCGTTTCCGTTCGTCTCTCGCTGCCCAGCATTCTGAGCAAGCTGATCACAATTAGAAAGGGCACAACTACCTCCGATTTTAGTCGACTTATTTATACGTTTCTTGTCGTGCTGCTGTCTGTGAGATGTTTTTTGCTTTTCATTTAAAATGACTCGTAGGGTCGGAAAAACAAAAAGCGTTTTCGAATCTCATGATTTAGTGCGGTTCATCTGAAGACTTCCTATCTGACAAATATTACACCTGGATATTCTTTGCCTTCGTGCTTGTCTGCCTAATTTGTGAAGCCACACCCAGTTTGCTATTCGTTTCTCTGCGCGGCTTCGCCGCACCTTCCCACGCAACTTTGTTTACTTTCAATGCATGGCTTTTTATCAGAAATATATATGAGTATTCCCTTTTTCAAGGGCGAAAGAGAATATGTCCCTGATCAACACATGAGGTCGGTACCTTCTTCGCTTGCTCCCAGCGAGTGGTCTACTCAGAGAGTACTAAATGTCTCTATCCAAAACTCTTAACCCTAGAAAAGACCTAGTCGTCTATGCAATTGTTGGTCGTCCGCATCGATGCCACAGTTTATTATACTCACGACCTTTTCCGTAGAGGAAAACACGATCAAAGATGAAAGTAGAACAAGCCTGAGGCTTGGGTTGCAGTGAGTTCTTAATGTGTTCACCAACGATGCGGATGAGGTGTTTATTTGGTTCGAAATACACTGCAAGTAGAAAAAACAAGACTCCCTGATCACGAGAGAGCAGGTAATTTTCCTTGAGCACTCGAGAGTACGGAATCTTATATCTTCAACAGTACTTAATTTCCTACGTACATCAACTCAATGTTGACCAGGAGGGTATCTATTCTCTTAGCAAACGTTCACTCCTATTAGTGGTGGGTGTATGTTGCCGACTCTTGATTCATCCTCTATCGGTCCTGAATGAAAGCAGCTTAAGCGTGTTCTGCGGAACGAGAGGATGGACTTGAGGTATGTGACAATTTCCCAGAGTGCATCTGATCGGTTATCATGTGTCCACAGGAAGCTCGGATTAATCGCAAATAATCTTGACCGCCCACGCCCAATCCTAACCCCGCCCTTTCTTTTGACATTCTCCACTGGTGAACAGGTTATCCACTGGTTTTTGATCCTTAATTTAAATTCTAATATTCGTTGCTACAATTCTGCATGGAATCTTTATGCCATTCTATCTTGATTAGAGCATGCTTCCGCAATGTGTATATTCAATTATCGATGAAGATTGATCGAGTCAGTGTGTCTGACTTAAAACCTTGAAAATAAATCTCCTCTCATAGGACGGCCCACAAATCTAGGAATGGGCTCGCCGTTGCCTGGGGGGCCTGTGAGCTCCTCCAGATGCTAGTCTGGTAGGATTTCGTAAATAATTCAGCCTAGATATTGCCACGTACAGGACCGGCTATTCGTACTTAGCTAAGACTTAGTTGGTATACAGCGGTCGATTCGTAGATTAGTTGAATTCACATCATTAGTGCTGCATTACTGTCATGAGGAGGACGACTCGTCCTATTATCTGATGTTTCGCCATCTTCATGTAAGTCTGAGTTATCTACTAGTATTCTGCCCAACAAGATCATTCTCGGATTGACTAAAGTATTTGTTCTTGATTAAATTTATAGTTAACCTTTGTCCTATTCCTCCCTTGTTTTCGACTAGTTAGTTTGTTGCTTAGCTAGAAGTGATTTTCGCCCAAGATGATGAATTGTTGGGAGCCGATCCACGGCAAGCCCGTGGTTCGTGTTCCCCGAAGTCACAGTGTGGATTTTCTGCATTTGTCAAATGGTGGTCAGGGTCCGACAGTAGGTCTCACCCGCATGTCTCGGGGCAGGCAAAAAGAGCAAGTTTTTGCTCCTGGACAGACGGCGCCGCAAGGCTTCCGAAAGCAGAGGCATCGGAGTACGAGTCCAAAAGCTAATGCAACTGCGGCGTCTACTGCCACTGGCGCGGCCGCGACCGCAATCGCAGCATTGGGTGGAGGGAAAAAAAACAAGCGCACAGAATTCTACCTGCAGGAATGCGAAGTGACGAAGAAAAAGAAGCAAACATTATTCCAGGTCGTCGGAAACGATATCGGTAACTACCTGTAGCAAGATGAGCTTAGACTATGAAATTTGTGTGGCTGGTTTTTTTCTTTTTTTACCACAGATATATTCGTTTGCCTTGATAGATAGGATTATTAGCAGCGATAAAATTGTGAGTCGTCAGAAATGTTATGAAGCCCGATCAGTACACCTTGCGCATATGAATGTCAGGTATTGAAAGAATAGCAAAAGCGTGTGGCAAGATAGCGGAGGAGGACGAGCTGCTGAAGCCGTTGAAAGACCAATGCAATATACCGCTTTCGAAGACGTATTGAATTTCATTACCCCCGGTTCTGCTTCCAGTAAAAGTCTTTCAAAGACGATCGATGCCTAATAGTAAGGATGTGTTGTTAGGCTTAGGGCCCCATTAGGAAAATCTAGATCAATTTTCAAAAAATGATGTTCCGTTTATTCCGTTTCCGTCAATCACGACCAATTAGGTTATTGGGCTATCTGTTAGGGCAGAAATTACCTGAGTTTGCATTGCTCTTGCCAGAGCTGAAGCAGGAACTAATACGAGCGCGCGACGAGTTTGGCCTCACTAGTGAGCATTTCGACCGCATGACGAATATGTTTAGAAAAGCTGTGCACACTTTCTGCACTAACAACGCCACGAGACTCGAGTGGGACACAATAAGTGACTGCTTTCGCAAAGAAATCGAGAAAGGGAGTCTGCATAGAGTCACTGATAAGCGGGTAGTCTCGTTCGACGTCTTCATCCGAGGATGCGACTTCCTGCCACTAGGAGGAGATAAGCAGAAAATCATCCAAGCGATCATCAAAGTAGCAAAGCAACTGCCGGATCCGGACGTCAAACGTACATTCTTTGCTTTAAACTTTTGGGAAATCGTAGCCAGTAATTTTAAAATTGCTTCGCTTAATAGGGTACTAAAAGTTGTTCGTTTTTCCATTCCTAGAGTCTGAAATAACAATAAGAGTTGCTGTGCTGGATTTCTTTGCGCACTAATTGGCTGCTTCTTCACAAATCGAATGACTCTATTCCTTCCCGACCCGTTCAACCTTCAAAGGTGCTGTGATGCGATCGTTTTATCCGGAGGCGATAACGCTGACTGAAGCAACTGCTCGGCCGAGTGGTTTGATGCTGAAGTTCCGACTGATGCCATCACTCTACGAAGACAGAATAGTGTTAAAGCAGACGGATCTAGGCCACACAAAGCAGTTTTTAGACCAATTGCACCTAGAATTCGATCCGCAAGCACAAGTAGCCGCAGAACTTCCAAATATAGACTTGGTGGATTGGGAGGCAGAGGACAAGATCGTCAAGTACTTCTACGAGCTTTGTTTTTTCTTTGTCAATTTCTAATATCTCTTGAGTTTCATGATCTACTTTTTCCTCGTCAAGGAGATTTTTCATGATCCAGACAAGCTCCACTCGTTGTCAAACTAACTACTTACATGAATGATATACGACTCATCATCATCATCATCATACACTCATTGTTCAAAAAAATTATTCAGGCAACGAAATTCATGGCGTGCTGAGGCGAAAGCAATAACAGAGAAGGTGGAAGAAATAATACCGCCAGAGGACCCGGACTACGATGGCCTGAAGTTAGAGAACGAATTAGCGCAAACGCTACATCCAGGTCCAAGTATCATGGAGTTATATCCAAGCTTGCCAACGTTTGACGGGGACCAAAAGTACTTGATATCTATGTGGACGATAGTTCTTTTTGTTCTTGTAGAATGATAGATCGCTTTGCTGCCAGGTAGGTCATAGGTGCTTCTTACTTCATGTACGCATTATTCATGTGTAGTCCTCCTTGTACGACGGACAGACTAGAAAATTTGACTTTATTTGGATATAGAAGGACTCCCACCTTTTGTGGTATCATCGTTTTAACTTTTTCTTGCTGCAGAATCGTCTTCGAAGAACAAAATAGAAGAATAGCTTTGTTGGAAGGCCAGTTGGGCAGACTAGCAACAGTCCATGCGAAGGAGCTGACGCGAACGCGCAAGATGCTGATGCTTGCACAGGTATTTGCGGTTGTGAACGTTATGTATCGTCATCGTGACACTTGATTGAGAAAAACATCATTCAAGTTGCTCTATTTAGCCAAGCACGAAGTCGTGGTATTTTGAAGGACATTCAGACTAGAACCCTTTCATGAGAAGTGAAAATTGACACCAGGACCGCATCGGCGAGCTTGAAGAGATGACGACGTTACTTCCGACCGAGGCTGCGCAGGCGCAAAACTTGGTGTTTCGTATCACGCAGGATAGCATAAAGCGAACACTGCGCCAAGGCCACGACGACTTAGAGTCAAATGCGGACTCGTTGCATATGCTCGAGTCGTGTCCAACACCAACCATGTACTACGCGAAAGATACGTTGGCAGCGGTTCCACGCACGCCTGCAAGCCCGCGCGAGCACGCTCCTCGTGCCGCAGCCGGAAGCGTCACGACCGCGCACGCATTGACGGCGCATCAGATCTACAGCGCTGCGGTCGGCGCGGCGCCGAATCCGCTGCAGACCGGAACACACGGCACGTTTGACCGAAAGAGCACGACGACGCAGGATAGCTTCCGAACGACGATGAACACGACAGGCCTCACGTACTCAAGCTATAGCCGCCTGATGCCAGGCGAAGACATCGACACAAAACTTCGGGAATGGATCGAAACTAGTCAACGGATGCTGGATCCAACACTGGACTCGCCAAAGCGAATGAAGTCCTCGCGTCGAGAAGAGACCGAACAAGGGATTGGGGGCGATGTGTGATCCTGGTGCAGGTCGACTTGAAAACACTTGATGTAGTTGCAAGGTCGATCTGCTGTTGATACCTAGAGGACACTTGCTTCTTGATGTTGCAAGGAGTAGGTCGAGCTATCAACATGGATCAAGAACTAAGTACTAGTGTTATCATCTTCTCAAGTTTGTTAGTTCCATCACGAGTACAACCACTCATGTTCTGAAAATCTGACACTTCTGACACGGGTAGAGGGTGTTTCACCATCTCTTTACGCTATACTAAAATGCACTTTCTGACAACTTCTAACAATTACCTTTAGTTTCTTTGATCATAACAATGTATCGGAATTCAGATTGACATTAAAATGTAAGTTGTGACCAAGCATTTATAATTAATGCTAATATGATGTAAAAATGGTCATACGCAATGCCTTAACTCAAATTTCTAATTGTGACTTCGCTAAAACCATCGAGTTTTTCCTGTTTATATGTCCGTTTACATTTGTGCGCCGGTTGATGCGCGCCTTGGGAGGTACGGACCTCCACTCTGCCCGCGCTTAGACAAAACAGAAATGTACGCATTTTTGAGTAGCTGGAAGCTAGCTTCGGACAAGGTAGCTTCCGCCAAGTTCCTATACTTTCCTGTAGCTGTATGGTTGGATATTTATCAAGAAAGGAGTAATAAAGGAGGGCATGCGCAATGAAGAGCAGAGGAGACGAGGGCACTAGCAGAGTAAGCATCTCTTGTGTACTCGCTACGTCCAGAGTTGTGGACCAAATTTAGCTGTCTTTTCCGCGATTATTGCTGTCTTTTCCGCGATTATTGTGCCGTAACAGCTATATTTCTTTCTGTCCCTCCTCCTCCTTCTGATGTCCTCGATAAAAGCTTTCTTCCGCCTCCTTCTCTGGTTAGGCGAAATTTCCTGAAGTTGTTATTGTTGTTTTCTTTTAGGCTCTGTTGTAGTTATCTACTAGATAGAGTTCATAATTTCCATTGAGAGTGACTTCAATTCTTCTTTGTGTGCAGCCCTTCTTCTTCTTCCTCCTCTTTGGCCTGCCTCTTTCTTGGCGCAGATTGTTGTGTAATATCGACTTCGTTCTGTCGAAGAACTAAATCACTTCATAGTACGAGAATTCTTTCAACCTTGGTTGAGACATCATGATTGTTTCGAAATTTGTATGTAGCTTATTTGTTTCTACTTGCGTGTAAATCAGAGAGGATGACGCCCGAACGACGGGGTATGGACGCCTTGGACATTCCTTGGCTTGCCGGTTATATCCGCAGTGATCGCTACCGGCGTCTGCAGCGTTCACCAGACTGCATCAAGTGGAGGAACATGTTGATTGCCTGCTGCGGGACCTATTTGCTGGTCTGCATTCTGCTGACTACAGCGCTGTATGCCGCGCGGCGCGCGATCACCGTGCTGTTATTCAATGCCATGCAGGGCGTTCTGGTTCTCGCAGGTGCGGGCGTGTGTGCCGTGCGAGTGTACTTTATTGGCATGATGGCAGTGCTAGGATGCTACTCAGCAGTGAGCGGGATCATCCTCCTGTACGCGCTGTTGATCGCTGCGGTGCAGGGTGATGGCGCGTTTTTTTTGCTGCATGGCAGCATGATCGCAGCTATGGATGGCCCGCTGCTTGGGGTGTGGGTGAAAACCTGCTTCGTTTTTTACAAGCAATGGCACCTGGCAGAGGGCCCGGCGAGCCTCGCCAGCATGCGGATGAATCCGTATAACATGGCAGCACCTGCTGCCACTATCATAATACAGCAGGAGCAACAGGGTGGTTTTGGAGGTGGGGTCCCGTTTCATGGCGGGCCGGCGGTCGTGATGACAGCTACACGCACAGGCGAGGGAATAGCGCCTGGAGCTTATCATAACAACGTGGGCACATCAAGCACAAACAGTGCAACTAGCCTGCAGCAAGTTCGAGTGCTTCCAGGAGGTGAGCCACCGCGCCTTTCGACCAAAGAACGGGTTGCGATCGGTTCCGATGGAAGCATAATAGGGATGCCGGCGGGACAAAGGAGTGAGTCATCAATAATCACCGTCGTGGAGATGATGATGGGAGCCGGCAGCAGTGCGGACATCGTAACAGGAGCAAGTGGAGGACCACATCAAAGACCACCTCCCGCAGCAGTTGCGACAGCCGCACAGACGACGAACTTACCTGGAAGTCCACTAGCAGCAAGCGTCGTACGCGGAGTTGACGACATCCTTTGTCCAATATGCTTGACGAATCGACGGAATGTGGCCATCGTTCCTTGTGGCCACTTGCTATGCACTACTTGTGCGCCTAAGATGATGGCGCCTGGAGGACGTGCGTCAGGTGTCGAATGCCCCGTATGCCGCACACGAGTTCAAGCTTTTCAAAAGCTTTTCCTGTGATTGGAGAGGTGTAGTTGTTGGAGAGGTGTAGGTGTCAGTGCACTTCTACTTTGAGGAAGTTCAAATTCAATAATACATTGTTCTTCTGTTTTGACAAGTAGTAGTTGCTGAAGGATTCGACAAGATGATCCACGCATGTACAGTTGCATAGCATAGAAGTATAGACTCCGTACCTCGCATCTTTGAGAATACATTCATAGACTAAAAGTAAAGCCGCCTGTATCTATGTAGTATTTGTTGCATGGATTTGTGAATAAGAATGATAATGTGCGGATGGCCTGCTGTTTTGCATCTCAATACGCGTGAACAGGAGAATTTCATGCATTTTCTAATGTTGACTATAGCACGTGTACACTACGCTTGGCGCGGTGCAACTTTGGAGGCAGAGAGGCATGCTGAAGTAGCTCGACTGGGATAAGATTACACCGAATCGTGTTTTTATTAAGAAGTGCTAGGCCAAGATCGGTATCAAAGAAAGTCGGCCAAGATGACATGCTCATCGTCTAATTTCAGCAGATGTGACAAACAAATGATACTACCTAGAGAGTGAGCGCGTAGGGACGAACAAAGTTGTCGGATTTCGTTTCAGTTTGAGCAAGCAGGCGTTTTGAATGATCACGCACAATCTGTTGGCTTCGGTGCTGTATCGAAAATGAGAGAGATCTTTTTACAACCGCATTTTCCTCACCCCCTTCCGATGGGCATTGGATACACCTCGAAATGAAGGACAGACTTGAAGACATGCTTATGCACATCATGAGCAACTACATCTCTCGATATTTCATGGTCTTTGGATATCTGAGTCATAGAGATAGATCTGAAGTTGACATCCTCATCTTGGTTCTCGACATAGAAGGTGAAGTGGGGAAGGAGTGGTATAGTGTCAATTTTGAGATAGATGTCGGAAGAGGCGCCGCCGGCCGACGAGGCGCCCGCCGAGGCGCCCATTCCTGAGGAAGAAGCGGCTCCGGCTGCGGAGCAGGAGGCCGCACCACCAGCGGAGCGTGAGGGTGCCGCTCCACCCGCCGAAGGCGATGCCGGGCAAGCAGAGGGCGACGGTGCCGCACCTGCCGAGGAAGCACCGGCAGAGGCGGGAGAACCGCGGGCAGAAGGTGAGGGCGCGGCAGCACCAGCAGAAGGCGGCGAAGAAGCTCCCCCAGGGGAAGTGACTCCCCCAGCAGAGGGTGGTGAACCCGCTCCAGCGGAAGCTGCTCCAGGTGAGGGTGGTGAGCAAACGGTGTCTGTAGAAGTGCCAGCTGCGGAAGCAGCAGCTCCAGCTGCGCCTGAGGAACCAGCCGCTGAAGGGGCAGCGGAGGAGGCGCCGGCACCAGTGGCTGAGGGTGAAGGCGAAATTGTGCCCGTGGAGGAGGCTGAGCCAGAAGAATACGTAGAACCCGAAATAGATCCTACACCCGAGCTCGAGGCAGCCTTGAGGGAGTACCATGAACGAATTGAAGGTATTGATTACTGCAGCGTACTCTGTTTCGACGATGGAATGAACTACAAGTCAGATGTTGAGTCAGATTCTCTAGCACTATTTCTTTTGCTTGACTTCTTGTGGATTGATTGTCTCACTATGTTTTTTCTTTTTCATTTGACTTTCGCTATGTTCGCACAAGCTACAACAGCTGCAGGTCTACACGCCGACAATATGGCGCTGCAAAAGAGGGTAATACAGTACAAGCACAGCACGCAGAAAGCGGGCCAGAGCCAGCCAGATCTCGAAGGTCAGCAGCGGATCACCGAACATAAATACCTCAATGTTTTGTCGCACGTGAACCAGGTAGCTTTCTGTCATCTTGCTGATTTTCCTCAAATGCATGATTGCGAGAATGATCTTGTGGCTCATTGGCGCTATCGATCAAATGATTATGCCTTTTAGTTGTCGGCCCCATCCTGCACCTCTCTGTCGTGTCATACTTAACATTCTTTCATATTGCAATATTTCAGATTCGCGTGAAGTTGCGCACACAGCAAGTGCGAGGTGCGCGAATCGGAGAGGAATTGCGCGCTCAATTAGAAGACAAACGGGCTAAGGGGATTGAGTGCCGAGACTCGTTCCGGGATTTCAAGCGCCAAGTAGCAAAAAACGCAGAGTACTCGCGAACGGGCAAGGGCATACCCGGTCGGATCATCACAGAGATCGAGAAATTTGAGGGAGAAAAAGAGGCAGAGGTAGAGGAGGTGCGCGGAAGCAACATTAGTTTGAAAAACCGGTTAGCGAAACTCGAACTCATGTTGAGGAAGAAGGACGAATTAGCAGAGAATCTCCACGTGATCGATTTCGAGCAACTGAAAATTGAGAATCAGACGCTGAATGAGAAAATAGAGGTACTGCTAGAAATTCGAGTATAATATACTGGAGAAAATTCAACTAAGGACTGCAAAAATCCGGACAAAATTCAATCCTCTCGGGCATGATACGAATCCGCAGAACACTCGCCGCCTACTGCGCTCCCTTCTGGAAAACCCTCACCCAATTGCGAGCCAAGAACCTCGGGCGCCCCCCAAATCCCCGCGCCCCTCCAGAATCCCCCAGCA